CAAATATTATCTCATAATATTAACTTTTGCCCTTCAAAATTGCACTTGAAGATGAATATCTTAGAAGAGCATTTCACTCAATATTTAATGCAACAATCAAACTCGTCACTTCAGAAAGAAAACATTGAACAATTAAAATGTTGCAACTAAAAGAAGATGGAAATTCAGGAAATTTCTTATTTTCTTTACCAATTATTGAATGTTTTTTGCTATTTGATATTTGATCGGTTTAACCTTTCAGTAAAACTTTTACTTGGGAATGGTTATCATTTACATGAACAGCGGATAAAGATGAACATTAATGTCCATTGATTTGATAGCTTGATTCATCAACAATATCATGAGCATCAATAATACATAATTGAATAAGAGGCCAAAAAAGATTGATAAACATTAATAGATACATTTATTTGTTGGAAAGCTTTATCAACCGGATCTTGGATCAAAGCGAAAACAGAAACAAAATCATTCATTCATTTCTGAGCTCTCATGGTTATATCATATTCACCAGGATTCCATTGATATTCACTCAGTTTTCTATTAATTTCCTTTACAAACAATCAAAAGTGCAACAAAGTGAGATGGAAAAGTGTAAAGGCAAAAAATTGATAACTTTTTTGCATTAATGCTGGCTACAGTTGCATATTGATGAAAAATCTCACTGGGAGTGCATCATGGATTATAGCATTTCTTTATGTTATAAAGTCAAGAATAATGATTATCGTTGAAAACAAAAGATGGTTCAACAATTTTAATCTCTTTTTGCGAAGAAAAGGAAAAATTCTGAACATATCATCTCAAAGGGATTCTGTAATTGGGAATAGCATTTGCTGTTGGTTACATTCGTTCAAACTGAAAGTCCAAGTTGAAACTTGATTTACTTCATTCAATTTCAACAAATTTTATTTACTTATAGCTAAACTCATATCCATGTTTATTGAATAAAGCAAATTTTACCTCATCCATGAGTCTAAATGTTATTTCTCCATCCAGAGTTTTTCAAGTTTCCTCTGAAAATTTCAGGATTTCAAGAATTCCCTAGCATTCTAGACGTTCGGCCATCAGAAAAGCTCCTTTTGGAGTTGATAAAACTTTTAAAACGAGTTACTTGATCATAGGTTACATAAGCAAATAACTCTCATCAATTAGAAAGTCAATGAAAGACTGAAATCAAGATTATATTTAGCGTCACTAGGTCATGAAGCATATTTCGTCTCAAATTCGTTCGTTTCGTTCAATGCAAATAATATTTCCAATTCATTTTGAGAGGGAGAAAAGACGAAATTATTTCAACAAACGTTAATTTTAAAGTTATATTAAGTTTTCAGTGATTTTGCATGAAATTATGAGACTTGCAGAGGCTGCAAATTGATTAAACTCTAGGAACTTCAGGGAATTCTGTAACTTGTAAAGCTTGCCAATTGCACCGCAATTCTCAATCGATCAATTGTTTGACGAGTTTTCTGTACGTCACTCACAGAAACCAACAAATAAACTATTAACTGATTTTGTTTCGGATTCAATATTTCAATTGAGATGCTGACAAGCATGAGAATCTGATGTATCAAGCTTCAATAATGTTGAGTGAGAAAACGTGAAAAATATAATCAACTGAGCATTATTGTTCACTATCAGTTTATTCCATTTCTGTCAAGAGAAGGCAAAGAAAAGTCGAAAAAAAAGTAGAACACAATTCGACTGATACTCATTATGATTAGTATGATGATGATGATTATTATTATTATCATTATATTACTTCAACTTGTTTATCAAAGTGTATTAATAAATAATGTGGTAAAGTAAAGTTTATTACAGGATCAAATTGTTAACGGGCAAAAAAACGGTTATTCAAGCAACAATAACTGAACAATAAAACTAATAATAATCTTCATCATAATGATAACTGTGAATAAATGAAATGCAATTTATTTCCAGTTCTTTATTGAATAACAGCAAACTGTGAGGTTATAATTTAATTAAAGTTACTGTTGATATTTATCATGATTAACATGATAATTATAGTCACTGTGAACGAGTAAACAAGAGACAAAAGAAAGTCCCATTCAAATGTTGGTCAAGAGTTGCAATCAAAAGTCAAGTTCAACTGTTAAATCCATTAATAATTGTTCAACTGCAATGGTCGAAATATGCTTACAATTAGTGACTTGAAGATGATAATAAACATAATGCTTTGCTTATTAAATAATTCATCATCTTATGAGCTCTTGGAACATTATCAAACTGATTAGTCTGACAATTTATTGTCATTCAGTGAGCTTCTGCTTTTGCTTCTTTCGTCAATGTTCATAATTTATGGTGAAAACTCGAATCAGATTATAACTCGAGAAGCGATCAAGTCACTTGAAAACTCATCATGAGCATTGTTATCAATATTTCATTTCGTTCAACTTGCAACAGAAATGGCAGAATATGTATTTTCATGTTTAGCGGTTGATTTACTTTTGTCTCGATTGATAGTCATTAGGATCATGATCAAGCTGAACCATGTCAATTCCCGTGAGATGTTATCTTCGTCTTCAGTAGCATCGTCATAACTGAGAAATTGTTTGCTTCTTGTTTTTTCCTCTTCTTCTTTTTCCTGGTTTTATATAAATAAATAACTTTTCTTTACGGTAACTCAACTCAATTGAGACTAATAATACATCAACCTTTTATTATTATTATTATTATTTATAAATGCTACAATAATGATTTGATATAGCATAATAATGATAACAACAAAAGGTAACAGATAATTGTCATTTGTAGCTGGCCTTTTGTCAGGACTTATTTTTGTCTCTACCATTCATTTACTTTGTTGCTTTTTACATTAACCATTCATGGGTTAAGGTTGTACTGTTGGATGTACTGCTACATCTACTGATCATTTGTTTGATAATCATTATTTGTTTGTGAAAATTATCATCATCATCATCATTATTATTATAAGACATCAATGAACCGCAAACACCAAATATTCATCATTAATTATTTAACCTGAATTTACTTGGTTAAAGTTAATGTTGATCAATAATTAACCAATGAAAGCCTGTTGGTTTAGTTGCAATTCACTCTATAACAACATAACACTGGTCAACCTTTTCCTTTTGCAAAGTTTTCAGACTTATTCTGGACTGTAATCTGAAACTGTCGACTGAGAGAAATATCTTGACGAAGAGAATGTTGTTTCACTGTGCAACGTTTGTATCAAAGCATTTTGCTCCAAAGTCGGTGTCTAAACTTGATTGCTTTCAATAGATTTGCAAGTTACTGTCTTATTTGATTTCCGATGTAAAATTTGCTAGTTGACCAGTTTATTTTTCCTTTCAGAGATTGGTTTAACCAGCATTTAACTTATTTTAAATCTAAAACCTAAAAGTAAATCAATTTTGAGCGTTTATGTATCGAATGCAGTTGATGATTGACTTGCAAACGCTTTGAATGCAACGCTCAAACTTGGTATAACTTGGCTAGTATTTTGATCGAAAGATTAGTTCTGCAGGATATTAGTGTTTTCTTTATGCAAAAACGAGCAACTTAGTCTGAAAATACGAAAGCGTTTGCAGTTCTAAGCACATAAAACCAGAGAAAATCATTCGAAAACTGGTAAGCAAATAGCATAAAGTTAACAATACAAATAGTCTTCAATTTCAATCGTTGAGAACTAAACTGCTATAATAACGCATTGAAACACATTCAGCTAGCATTCAATGCTAATGCCACATAATAATCGCAACAATAAAGCTGCATAAACCATTACTATCATGAATTAGTGTAGGGATCTGTTTACACTTTAAGTTAATTTTATCCCGAAAACTAAGCAAACATTGATGATCGAAACCTAAAATTGTTGCTTTTTATAACGCTTTTTTAACCCAAATTTAACCTTTGCAAACAAATTTCCACTTAATTTACAATAACAATATTGATTAAGATGTTAATGAAACATTAAATTGTCATGTTAACAGTGAAAAGACAAGAAAGATGATGAAGAAGCCGTGAAAACAGTGAATGACAGTTTTTGGATGAAACAAGAGTCAACCTTTTTCGTTTTCTGGTTATTTTGTATGAAAATTATTGCATTAAACTCTCATCTTCAATGATCACCACCATAACCATGATAAACATCACCATCATTATTGGAACCTTGAGTTGTTACTTTTTTCTCCATCCTTTTCAAGATGAATCTATTTTTAATTACCATTTTCACCGTCAACCAAAATAACTTTTTTTCCTCTTTCCTTTGCTTCCTCCATCATCAACATCCTTTACACTTTCACCTAAAACAGTGAATTACAAACATTGTTATTGAACATCCCAACGTTTCCATTCCTCATCCTCATCTTGAAAATTGTGATCCTCTAATGGGTTATTAATAACAACACTTATGGATCTCTTAATGTCCAAGTCCTTTTTTATTCCTAATACTGTTCGGTCTACTGTTGAACCTGTTTTTATATCATTAATCAAATCTTACGTTGAAATCATTTTCATGTCAATTATAACTTAACGTTTACCTTTCAAATTATAATTGGTGAACCTGAAACTCATTAAAACTATTAGTTATTGCTACTCAACATTTAATTATAACTTCATTTGGATTGAAGTACAAAGACTTATTGTTGATCGGTCAACAATTGTAACTAATTGCTCAGCTAAACTTGGCTAATTTATAAATTTATCAAAGTTACTCCAAGAGTTATTTAAAAATATACTTTAACCAACATTCAATGGATTGATATTAATCTTTTTTCTTCCTTTTTTCTTGCTGCTTCCATAATTGACTTTGTCTTTTGGTCCAATTGTTGTTTAATCCATGAATAACCACCGGATTCTGTTTCATTTCCGTTCATCAATTCATTCTGAATGCTTTTACTCTGCAACCTTTGTTCACAATCGTCTCTCTACTTTGAATCATTGAATAATTGATGGCAATGAACAACAATGATGGATCAATGGAAATGCATACAAAAACCAAACAAAATCCAATTCAACATTAGATGAAGCTCCAACAATACGGGAAAAATTTTACTCGCAAAGTTTAAATCCAGGTTCACCTGTAAGCTTAAAATGCTCATCGACCGGCAGTCCACTGCCCAAGATAAGATGGTACCATTATGCTAAACCATTGTCACATACTTCGTATCGTAATAAGAAGAGAGTTTCCCATTTTGAAAATGGCTCTGATCTGTTCATCTCTTGGCTCAACATAACCTCAATTGATCCTGAAGATGGAGGATTGTATACTTGTGAAGCCTTTAATGAGATTGGAATTGCTCGCTCATCAGCCTCAATACAAGTCACGGGTCCTCCATTTGTCCATCCAATGGACAACATAACTCTTGGAAGTCAAGAAAGCCTAACAATTCACTGTCCATACTCTGGTTATCCAATCGAAAGCATTACATGGACAAAAGGTAAGTCAAGTCAAGTCAAACCCAAGATCCTAACCTAAGAAGGTTCACTTGTTAGCACAAAAGACAGTCCAAAGACCATTGACTTGCACGTAAAATCAATGCAAGAAGCATTTCTCGATAAATCAATTTTTGCATTTCTTCTGTTCGATAAATCAGTTTGATGAAATTTCATTCAATCACAGAAGCACTATTTGAAGCCAACATTTATAAAAAGAAACGCAAAAGCCTGTTTAAGAAGCAAAATATCAATTCTTCCATTGAAATGAATATTAATAATATGGGAACAAAAAAGTACACTCTCAATGCTTGAGGCAACATTTCATTATCCACTCATTTTTTGCATCCTTACCTTTATAATAACCTGATATAACATGATGTACATGTGATATGTACTTGAGAGAGTAAAAAAAGTAAAATACAACACAAGAAGAAAAAAAGAAATGATAAAAGTAATATTCTGTATCCAATATCCACACAACTGAACATAATTTTATTCGTTATCCTATGTAAATTCAATTTTCATTTTCCTTCTTTTCTTTCCTTTAATATCTGATTCAGTCAAATATTAGATGTTAGCAGAAGAAGAGGCAAAAAAATATTCAGATAATATTGAAACGTACATCATTTGTACCCTTAAGTCTACTTTGATAGTAATTTTACTTTTTCTCCTTCTAACATCATTCCCTTGACTGGGAGTGAAAAAACTCCAAAACATTAAAAGTTTGCTTTTGCCTTTTCGCCAATCACACAATTAAAAGTGTTGAAAGTTAAATCAATTGAACAAATCGTTTAATGATAAAATTCAAATTACTCCATTTCTAAGAGTTTAATTAGTCAATAAAGTCCAATAAAATACTAATGATTAAGGTTTTATTGGTAAATGGAAATGATGAATTTTGTAAAAATAGTTTTTCTTTTGTTAACTTTCGCCTTCTTTCCATTAGTTATTTCCTCCCTTCTGTTGATCACTTGTACTTGGTTAATGTTATTATTCCAACACAATTTATCCATTAATTGAATGATTGATGAACTGAATATCTGACGAGTAAAGAAGAAGAGAAAATCTTGCAGATTCTATTATTTTCTCATTGGGATTGTTCAGTTTTTTCCATTGAACTTTCACGATATTTATAAACTTAACTTCACCCTTTTCACCATCAATGACTCCTTCATCATTCATCTTTTTTTTCATCTCTTTGCTTCCAAAAGAAGGTCGCGATTTTGTTGCTTCTCGTGGAGTTAAAAGTCATCCCAATGGCACATTGACACTTGTTGATGCTCATTCAGAAGATGAAGGTTGGTTCAAATGTGAGGTCAGAAACAAGGAAGGTCAAACGGCAAGTGGATCACTTTACATCGACATTATTGGTAAGCTTCAAGTTGATTCCCTTTTTGAATCAATCTTTTGTTTCCTTCAAATCTTGCATTCATTAGCTTGGATTAACTTAATTTTGGAAAAATTTCAAACTCAATTCTGTTTTGTTTGTCATTTCAATGTTTATAATAATGGAAGGATAAAGGAGTGAGAAAAGGGAAAAGTAAAGGTTTTCAAGAAGCATTTTGGGATGAGGATGATGATAAGAAAATGCATCAATCATTGATATAAGTCAATGTTGATGACATTTATATCTCCACCTTTCTATTATATGTAAACCTTTTCTTCTTCGTCTTGATAATGATTCTCATGAGATGTTGATTTATACATTTAACGTTTTCTTGTCCAATATTTGGTGATATATTTTTTTTGTTTTGTCTCTTGTTGTGTCTCTTCTTGGATAATCAGAGAAACCATCGATAAATCCATTTATATTTGGCTCTGATCTTCGGGAGGGAATGAGAACTACTGTTGTCTGTTCAATTGGCCTTGGTGAGCCACCTTTCAGGATTACTTGGTTAAAAGATGGCATTCCCATTGACCATGGTAATCCTGATCTACGAGTTGAAGCCTTAGGAGATTTCACTTCAAGCCTTAAGATTACCGATATAAGACGAAAACACAGTGGCAATTATACTTGTAAAGCAGCCTCTGCGAGAGCACCTGACATCTACTCAACTTTTACAGCTCAACTAATTGTTCAAGGTAAGCCAAGTAATTCAATCTATTATCCAAACATTGTCCAAATATCAATGAAATAAGAATCAAAACTAATGAAACTTTCATCCAAAATTTAAACATCAATGAACATGAAACAACTTTAGCTTCGAAATTTCGTTACTACCAAAAAATTTCAACAGTCTTTTGACTAAACTGAATTTTGTAAAGATTAAGATCAAATTGACACTTTTGCTGCAAAACAATCAAATGATGAAAATTAAACTTCAATTTGCGAACAAGGAAAATCTGAAGATTTTTATGCAAAATAAATGGCAAGAGGTAAATTATGATGATTTTAAAGTGCCTTAAAGCCTTTCAAAATGAACATTTAAAAGATATTTGATCATTTTGTTGTCACAATAAAAATGCAAATTACCTGATGAAGACTCGACTTACTAAAAATGTATCTTACAAAAACCAAACTGTCAAGTTTCATCAGAAATGTTTGAACTCAACATTTAACTCAATCTAAATTTACCAGAATCAGCTTCAAATTATGGCCTCTCTAACCATTCTTGTTACAAAAATAATGCAAAATAATCCGAAAGTTGAATTTTAACCCAAAGCTAACCAGTTTTGTCGGTTAAATTTGGAGTGAAATAAGTGAAAACCAGAAAAGGTTAATTTTATGATTGACGAGAAGAGGCAACCCAAGATGTTTACTAGTCACTTGGAGGTTGCCTTTCATCGCATTGAATGGATAGCTAATGTAACCAAAGACTCACGTAACTCATTACACATTATAATCTCGTCTTTAATATAACATTTGCTTAACTCATCGAGTCACTGAAAAGATTTAATGAAATGACAGTTAACCTTTAATATCATGTTAATAATGTAATGTTTACCTTTATTAGTTGATATTAGGCTTTTTTTCATATTCAAACTCCAACATTATGATTATGCCAAAAATGTCTACTTTTCAACACAACAGACTAACACAATGTTTTAGATTATGTTTGTTCAACTCTTTTCTTTCCTCACTTCGTGTGCTTTCATGTTAAATATACCTGTTTCTTGTTGTTAATATTCATGTATTACTACTAGTAAGGTCATGATAACATGTTGACAGTTTAATGTAAATTTTTGTTCACCTTCTTGACTTTCATTTGGCAAAACCCAAATGAATATATTATAACCCTGATTTGATGTTCAACAAACAAGTTGACTTTTCCTTTCCTTGTAACCCTTCTTGTACCATTAGTAAAACAGTTGAAGTATTGAAGCATAATTTTGTCAACATCATTTTTCATTTTCCAATATGAATATTTTATCCCATGAAACTGACCAAACGTTAAGGAAATCAAACTTTTCCTTCAACACCTTTTTTCTCAAACAAATGTAAATACATCAAACCTTTTAGATGTTTCACTTTTTGGTCAAGATTGCTTTTGTGTTACAAAGCAAACTTGACCATTTTGTCCGGTGTTTACCCAAAAGCTCAATGAATTTATCTTTAAGCTTACACATGAAGCTTAACTCTTGATTACAGTAAAACTTCAGGATAAATGCTCTTCAGTTTATTGTTTAGTTTCATTTCAATTATCAATTGACACAAAAATAGTTCATGAATGTTATTCAATTGTATTACTTGAATCTTGAGTCTTTTGTAATTTTAATGCTTCATAATTGTCAACTTTGATTTACTTGTAACAGTAAATTTTGTGTTTTTTTCACCTTTTCATACACTTCTATGATTGTTAGTAATACATAAAAGTTGATATTACATTTATCATGATTATTATAGCTGTGAACATTGGAGGGTTTGCAGGGTGAAAAAACAGATCAAATATATTAACCGATATATTAATAGCATAAGCTAATTGAAAAGCATGAAAAACTCATGTTATAATCATTAAACATTTTTGTTGTTGTTCACCATCAACTTAAGGTTAACTTGCTCTAGATAATTATTTTAATTAAATGTTCATTTAATTGAAACCTTTTTCCTGTAGTTAATCAATTTTATAACATTTTAATGAATCAACTTGAACTAAGCCAAGGGTTTATCATCAAAATTATAATGGCTTGTAATCGTTTTCAGTAAAGAGAGCAAAGATTTAACTCAAACTGTTTTTCAATCTTTAATCTGTCAACTTGAAGATGCTTCACTTGATTTGGTTTAATTAGGTTCATGATTTTATTGAAATTAACATTTTACATAGAAGAATTGTAGATTCACAATTCATAGAATCTTTCTGATTCAGAATTCGTTTCGTCTCGATAAGACAATTTATTTATTAATTTGTTAGGGAATCTCAGTATTAAAATGTGACGTGAGTCTTTGGCCACATTAGCTATCCATTCAATCCGATGAAAGGCAACCTCCAAGTGACTAGTAAACATCTTGGGTTGCCTCTTCTCGTCAATCATAAAATTAACCTTTTCTGGTTTTCACTTATTTCACTCCAAACTTAACCGATAAAACTGGTTAGCTTTGGGTTAAAATGCACTTTTCGGGTTATTTTGCATTCTAATTGTGACAAGAATTGTTAGAAAGACATTTTATGATTAAGGTTGATTTGATTGTTGAGTTGGGCTATTGTTTAGATTGTCTTGAAAGCAGTTTTTATCATAAAATTGAGAGTGTTTTTTGGAGTTTTTTCAAGGAGTTGGTAAGCTAATAACTGGTCCGTTTGTGATTAAGGTTTGTTTGACTCTAATAAACATATCCATTGGGTTGGATTGAAAGCTTTGAATTGATGTTCATCGTGAAAGTGAAAATTTTTTACAGTAAAAATAATTTCTCATGATTGTTGGGAGTTGTAATTTAATTTTGTTTTTTTTACGCCATTCACTTTACTTTTCTTGATTCAATTAATCTTTTCCGTTAACTATCACTATTAGTTGATTAACATGGGAATTTGTTGGAATGAATATTATGAAAATGAGAAAAGCTCTGAAGATGGAGTAATGATAAATTTTGGATCGTGTTAACAATTAAATATCTTAATTTCAATTCATTTTGTTTTTTTTCATATTAACGTTAACACTTGTTTACCAGCTATATATCATTTTGAACCTTTCATGTTGACTACATTTGCTGATAACTCTCCGTAATCAGTTTGAATATATTTGAATATCAGTGAAACCTCTTAAGTATTATCATTCATGGTAAATTATATTTCAAATGAAAGCTTTGATAACAATAATATTATACAAGATGATTCAGGGAGAGAAGAAAATTCATTTTTCTTTTCCCTTTTACTTTTTTCTTCTTCTTCTTCTTTTCATTCAGCTTTTCCCAAAAGTGCAAATCAAGTGAAATTATAATTTCTTTGTTGATGTTTGTTGCCCGATAATTTACAAGATGAGATGAAATGATTTGTGTGTTCATCTTGTTTTTAGAGAGTAATTTATATTCATGATGATTTTCATCTAGTAATTCAGTCTCTCTTTGCTAGATAATAATAATATTTTATTAATATCAACATGATGAGCAGGGAGAAAAATTTGAACCCTTGTTTGTTATCACTGAATGAGTGAAAAAATTTGTTATTGGTAAGTCAATTTGATAGAAGACTTGTCAACAAGAGTTAATTTTTGTTGAAAAAATCAACAACTGAAAAAAGGGTAAAAATGGCGATTTAAACATGAAAGTGACAGTTTTTTTGTTGATGGTGAAGAGGTGGATGAAATTGATAAACAAAAATTGTTGAAATCTCCTTTGAGGTTAAACAATATAGATGATTATGGTGATAATGATGCATGAGAGAAGAGTCAAGTTATGAACAATAAACAAAGCATAATTTGAATAACGCACAAAATGTGTTGAGCTTTAGCCGAGCTGTTAATTTATTTACTGCAACTCTTTATGCTTTTTCATTGTCTTTTAGGCTTTTTAAGCTTTCTAGGCTTTTCTCTGTCTCCCTCTGTCTCTGTTTAATCGCTTTGTCTTTCTTTACCTTCTGCTTGGCTTTAAATGAATCTGTTAAACGTTCAACTCTTTATCGATAATTAATTAAATAATTACTGTCTCCAATTGATTTTGTTTCATTATGTTTCAATCTTGTTGACTCTTATCAGAAAAGTCAGTTTTCTTGGTGTAAGTTTCGTTAGATTTTTCGTTCATTTCTTGTAACCACCATTTTTTATTTGTGCTTTGTCATCATTTTTCATTCGTTTTTTATTTTTTCTTTGTATTTAGCTGCTCCTAAATGGATATTAAAACCATTGGAAAGATATTCAACTATACGTGGTTCAAAGGTTTTGATGAATTGCCAGGCTGAAGGAATCCCACCTCCGGTTTATCAATGGAAAAAGGCTCGTAGATTGGAATCTTCAGCTTCAAATGAGTTAATTGGTATCGTCAGTGGACCTCATATTCATGTTTTAGAGAATGGTTCGCTGGCTATAATTGATTCCACCAAAGCTGATGAAGGTGATTATGTTTGCGAGGTTACCAACAACAAGGGACCCTCTTTAACATCTATATCACGCCTTGAAGTCCATGATCCGGTGCATTTTACCAAATCCTATGAGCTGGTCAAGGTTGAAGCTGGTCTTAAAGCTGAAATTATCTGTGATCCATTGGGTGACCAGCCAATTGAAATAAATTGGAATCGAGTAGCTTCATCACCAACAGTAGCCTCGCCTTCATCGTTACCAGTGACTTTAACAAACGATGATCGACGATTAGCAGGTATTCTTGGTATCAATGGTGTCAATGGGATGAAAATTGGGCGAGAATTGATTCCTTCAAGTTCACATCATTCATTTTTATCATCATCGAGATTTCAAATTAATCAAGATGTTAATGGAAACAGAGTAATATCCCATGTAACCCTAGATTCCCCTCTTGTAGAAGATTCAGGTACATTTATTTGTACTGCCAGCAACTCTTATGGTAAAGCTGAGAAAACAGTTCATTTGATTGTCCAAGGTCCACCTCGATCTCCGCGCAATTTAAGATCAGTTGAAGTAGCAAGTCGTGATATAACCATTGCTTGGGAAGCTCCTGATGATGGTAATAGTCCTATTCTTGATTATCTAATACAATATACATACAATAATGGTGAGTTTATTAAGTGAACATTTCTTCTTTTCTCCTATTTTTCTTGTTCCTCTTTTTTTTATCTTCCTCCTTGTTACCTTGAACAGTTCTTTTCATCTATCATCATGAAAGTCATTCTTTGTTCTGACCTCACTTCTCATTCTCCCTTTCATCATCATCATCATCTTTCTTTGGCTATTATATTTAACATCATTTGCTTCTTTATTCCTTCTTGTTCTTAACAATACTCTGAAATTTTTGGTTTTTCCTCTTTTTTTATCCTTTCGCATTTTCATCTATTCCCTTGTTAAACTTCCTTTTTATCGTCATCATTATCATCTTGCTCAGTCCCTATGGTAAAGATGAAAACTTAATGCTTCGTTTGTTTTCTTAGACTGTTAACTAAATTTTTTTTATTCAACTTTTCCTGATTGTATTTGTTTCGCATGTTTCTGGTTAATTTTGGCTAAAATATCATCAAAGGATGATATTATTGTTTTCAAAACTCGTTTACATTTGATTAAATTTAAATGAGAAGTATTAAGTTGCATTAGGAAATGAGCAGAGTTTTAATTTTCTTGAAACCTGATTAGTTGAACAAAAAAATATTCCTGAGCTTTTAATGAAAGAACCAGTATTACCTCTCTCAATCTTACTTTCTTGATTCTATTATTTGGATTAACTATGTTAACGTTGATTTAATGATCTAATAACTCAAAAATAATAAGATTAATATACTTTGACTTTGAGCAAGCTTATAAATTAGCAATGCTTATTGAAATATCCTTTCCATCATGCAATTTGATTGATGATATTGTTTAATTATAACTATCACACGAAACCAATCGTTAACTTGAACGATTATTGAAATCATTTTTTACATTGATCTTTCATCTCATAACATCATTAATTCCTCTCTAAAGGTATTTGGACCAATTCATTTGAAACAACCTCAGTGAATCCTAAGGAGTGTACAGCGTTGATTTCAGGCCTTTTACCCGAGACAATTTATCGGATTCGAGTATTGGCTCAAAACACATTTGGACGAAGTGAACCCAGTGATGAGATAACTGTACGAACTGAAGAAGAAGGTAAAAAATTGAATATCACTTCAATTCAACAATTTACTATCTTATTCTTTCTATTGTGTTACAGCGCCTGGAGAAGCTCCAAACAATGTGCGGGTTGAATCTATAAGTTCACAAACATTGAAAATTATTTGGAACAACATTGGAAAAACCAGGAAAATTGAAGGTTACCATATTGGCTATAGACAGGTCCATGGTTTCAATTCAATGAGGGATACCTTTAACTTCAAATCAATGAGCTTGAATGAAACTTTGCGACAATTTGATGAACTACAATATCAACTGAGTGATCTCAAGAGAAATACTAAATATGGTCTTGTTATTAGGCCATATAACAAAAAAGGTCCAGGAGTTACTTCAGAAGAAGTTTTTGCTCAAACACTTGAATTTGGTAAGCAAATTGATCAATGGATTGACAATCGTTCAATTTTATCTAATCGAAAAGTAATTAAATTCATGATGAATGAAAATTGTCAATCTAAATGGCTTTAGGTTTGATTATCGAAAAAATCTCATCACAATTGCTGAATGCTTTCTCATTCAAATTAGATTCGAGGTAAAATGATAGAAACAACTGATTTCATAGATGTTTACTGTTGACGTAATTGTGATAGTTATAAGAATGAATTGATTTCATGACACAATAATTGGTTTTAGGCAAATAACTGACAGATTATTGATTCATCTATTCACATCTAATCAACTTTCTAATGTTTGTAATCTAAACCTTACTGGACAATAAGTGTAGTCTGATATTTCAAGTGAGATAATCTAGACAATTAAACACACCAACAACCAACAAAAAAACAACGAAGGGATACCAATGAACAATGTGCTTTTTGATTGATAAACTTTCAGATTTTTTTTCTCCTTCGCCATTGATTGACAATACATTAACTATTTTGACCATGACTTTAGCTTGATTATCAGACAAACAAAGGGAAGACAAGAAAAACTGTTAACTTGCATTAACAATGACACAATTCAATTAATGGTGTAAACTCTTCTTCTTTTGTTCCCTTTTCACCTTATATTTTTTTCACCTCCCCTTTTCTGTTGCCACACCAGATCCTCCGGGAGAGATTCATGTTAGAATTAACGTTGTTACCCATCGATCATTAACTGTGGAGATTATTGAACAAGATGAAGTTAACCCAATCAGTGGTTACATTGTTAATTACAAGACCAATGCAGAGGATTGGGAAGAAGTTAAAATCTTGGGTCATCGGAAAAATTTTGTCCTCGAAGATTTACGCTGCGGAACGAAATATACTGTATCCATTTCTGCTTTCAATAAAGCTGGTCCTTCCCTGGAGAGTCAATTACTTGATATCTCAACTTCTGGCCATGGTGAGTTGAAGCAGGGAAAATGTTGCTTATTTTTCATATTGATAAATTTCATTTACCAAGTCTGTAAATGCAATTGGAAAAGTGTTGTAAAATCAAGATTTAAATCATCAACAGACTTGATTTCATCGTTGATTCAATTTGTTTTGTTTGGTTCTAAAAGTGTCAATATATCTTAATAATTTTGCTTTTTCTCTGATTGATTTTCAGTGCCTTCACCTGGATCATTAGAATCGTTGTTGACAGTTAATTCAACGAGCGCCTTAATCGATTTAAGTGCCTGGAGTGAAAATGGTTGTCCCATTTTATCTTTTGTGGTTCAATACAAACTACACTTCCAAACTGATTGGATCATGTTTTCCAATAATATAATGCCTTCACAGAGTAAATTAATTATTCCTGACTTGATACCTGCTACTTGGTATGATTTACTTATGATCGCTAACTCTGAACCAGGAACAACAGAGGCTCAATATCTTTTTGCGACTCTAACTCCAACTGGAGGTAATTTTCTGTTTATGCTTACATTTTCTTCTCCTATTGAATTTCCTTTGTATGATAATCTAATCTTGTTTACCCTTTTTTTGGTTTTGATATTCAATAGGAACTATTCCTCCAATTTCATCTAACACTTACTCAAATTGGGAATTGAATCTTGGTGATCCTGTGGTATTAGCTCCTATTTTATGTGCTTTCATTGTGTTCATAGTTATCTTTATTACTATTGCTATTCTTATGTCTACTAAGCACCAGCGAACCGGTAACTCTCAAGAGACCTGTAAGTTTCATCTCATCCCAAAATCTAAGGCCAATTCAAGCCACACGTCTTAAACCAAGTTTAATTGATCAATACTTTTTTCACACTTATTACAGATAATACAAATGATAGACAGAAAATGGAAAGTTTATCAATGTCTTCCTTCGCTCTTCCAGTTGAATCTTCAATTGATGGTGAGTTCTTAAAATTTTAATCATTCAAATGAATAATTGATTGTTTACTAATTTTTCATCCACTTTGATTAATTTAGGTAAAAAGATTTATGAAACTGTTCAACGTAAATCTGGTTACGGATCTTACTACACCTCACCTTATGCTGCTAATCGTTTGGCATTTTGTGAGCAAGAAGCTTCTCTTACGTCCAATTTGCATCAAATTCAGAGGCACCCAAGAATGGATCCTGACCCTCCTTATGATGTTTTATTAACTCGAAATTTCCGGCCCAATTCACCTGGTTAATCGATATCATTTTTGATTTCTATTGTTACTTTTTTTTGGAGAATCTACACGAACAAATTATAAAAATTGCCATGAACAATCAAAGAATTGACTTCATCTGTAAAATAATTCTCAATTTCAATCATTCACATGAGATTTAACCTGAAAAATGCTTGTCAATACCATTAATTTTGTTTTTTTAATGATGTTAATAATTTTTGCCTCTAACAAAATTCAAGTTAGATGAAAACAGATTGTGTCTACTAAAGGTTTAATCAAAAACCTTGTGTCCAAATAAGTAATCAAATACCAAAGATTTACATTCATATAGCCATTAAAAGGGTTAATTAGCGTTAATCAATGTAATAAGCCAATAATATAGACTACATTGTGAATCGTTAATGCCCAAAATCGGAGCTCAAATAGGTTAAATTTTAAAGTTTAAATTTCAAAAACTGGTGATCAATGATTAAATTAGGTTATGTATAATGAACCTAAACAACTCGTCAACAAGTTCTTAATGCCAAAATTTTGTAATAAAAATACTCATTTTAAACACTTAATGATTTGTGTCTAATTATTATTTATTCATTGATAACAAAACATTGCAGAGTAAATATCTTGATCATTAAGCTAAGAACATATACATTCTTATCAACGAATAAAAAAATACACCTATTCACGTTCACGTTAGTTTTGTTGAAAAGATTGAACCATTTGAATAACATGAAGTTTTTTTTAATAAATAAATGTAATTGGAAAATCTAATTCCAATAGTGGTTCATACAAAAATTTAATTTAACAGCTAAAATATCACTATTGTCTCAAGGTTTCACCCTTTTGGTGTATCTCCTTTCATTTGACTGCAACTTCTTGAATCGTAATCTTTGTTCTTGTTCGAGTTCCTCTAAAGTTTTTATTCGGTGAACATCGATACCTTGACTAACAGCCTCCTTAATATCGCCAAACTCTTTAAAATGCAATAATATGGAAACACATTCACGTATTTCCAAGGATTTTGCACCTCTCATTGCTCTAAAAGGCAAAAATGATAACGGGAAACGGTAATTTGGTATTTTTAATGAGCTTGCTTTCTTGAATGAATGAGGAGCAGTTGATCTAATTGATAAACCACCAATAATGTAAATGGCATCATTGTCGAATTCACAAAGATCTTTGTCAGAATGAGGTGTAAGATAAATTAATTTCTGATCTTTGTACAGCTCAGTGAATGTCTCTTCGTGAAAACTCAAACTGGGAAGCAAAGTTGATAAGCATTCTTTCTTATGTCGATCCAAAAGTTCCCTTAACATAGTATCTCTTAATCCGGTTACTACCATGTTGAACGGTGAAGAGGCACTTCGATTTAAAGCCATAGCCTTTTGTAAGTCGAAAATTATTCTTTTGGCATCTCCAACAGTATATTCATAATCACAATCAATCAAGATTTTCTGGCCATAAAGAAAAGCAGCTAATAGATTGGGAATAAAGGAGCAACGGTATTCGAGATGGCGAAGTCTTGTGAAGTGACTATTTAACCATTCACCATAAATAGGAGCTCCTGTCAGAGGATCGAATTTCAATCCCATAGTTGGTGATACTCCTTTGTCAATCATGTTTTGTAATTCATTGTAAGATAATGATTTAGGCTTTAGAGATTTCATCTTTTTCTTGTATTTCAAGTATATTTCTTTTTCTAATAGTTTTTTGAATCGCTTCTGCCAAAAATCACGAGGCATCTTCATTAACTCGACCATCTGATTGATTTTGATTGTTGACGGAATTTCACCATTGTCAAATTTTTGATATTCGTAAAGAGAAAGGATTTCTTTAATAATCTTTTCATCGTCACTGTTTTTAATTAGTTCTCTGAACGATTCAACAGTCAATTCTTCATATATTACATCCATGAAATCATCTTCGTTGCTTGAATCGCTATGATGCCTTATTATTTGAAAATTGAAACATTGACTAGACCTTTTTAGATAGCACATGAGAGATGGTGAAAAGGACGAAACTTGGTAGGCAAAGCAAGGTAATGTAGATGATTTAGTGAGTGAAAATTTTGATGAACTTAGTGAACATATTCCCTTCCTGGAAGAAATGTTGAACAACTTCGGCAAACACAAAATCCTACAAAAAAATACAAAAAGAGTATTAATGTCATATTAAGATTAAATTGACAATAACAGAGATTTAAATAACTTACCATTTATGTTTCATTATATATTTATGAGCTGCCTTGGAAATAGCATGAAAATCGCAGAGGAAGAAAATTAAATTACACAATTAGTACCATCAATTATAAAAATAAAAACATGAAACCAGAATGTTGTTTGTAAAGTCTTATTTGTCTACCTCGTTGCTATGGCAATTCATATGATTCGCAATTTGAATTTTACCCAAAGTTTTCATCTAACAACCAATGACTCTAAAAATTGAACCAAACTCCTCAATTCCGTGGACCTTTAGGTCATAATACACTATTGGCAATAATGATAGGGACATCATGTTTTTCTCGAGAAAAAAGGATTGCTCCAGACTTAAAAGGATTTTTAAGCTCATGATGGCTTCATAGGATAATCTGTTGGCCATATGCTGAATTTGACTCAAAAACTTGCCGACTGGAAAAAAGGTCTAATTAACCATGTTCATTAATTTAAAACAAGTTAATTTTCGGAGACTTCTTCTTAAGTCAAACAAGCTGCGGCTTAACGTGAAAAAAGTGAGCTTGCAGACTTTCGTACAACCTTACCTTAGTATGAAAATAAATTCAAAAATATGAAATGATTATTAAACATTTCATCAGTCAGAGTGGGTTATAATGTTAATACAAAAGTAATATAAATAAGCGATATTTTAAGAAAGATCAAAAATTTTTACAGCTTTATTATCAACAACTCTAGTTCGTTCAACACTTGTATGATATTTACACCAATCTGTTACACAAATAACTTACATTTTTAGAAAATTTTCTTTAATTTTAGACGAACTTTGTTCTGTTCAAAGTCTTATTCAATTCACGAAGACTTCTTTTCAAGATTCTTTCTGTTCTTTGTTTACTTTCTACTTCTAATTCTTCCTTAGTTTTGTAACGACAACTGTCTACGCCATGGTTTAAGGCAGCACCAATATCTTGATTGTCTTTCAAATGGTCCAAAATTGTAACGCATTCACGTAAAGATAATTTTTTTGATTTTTTAAAAACAAAATAATAATCCAATGGTAGGCGATAAGCTTTGATTCCTAATGATTTGCATTTAGGAAATGATCCAGTACGATCAAGGGTTGACATAACGTCAGGTAGACCACCAAGAACATAAACTTTTTCCGGATCATACTTTTTTAATGCATTAGGAGCGTAGGGTGAAAGGTAAATGATATCATCCTTTGGAAATAAATCCATAAAATTTTGCTCAATCATCTGAGCACCGAGATAGCCAAGTTCAGGATCATTAGAAATCATTGTTTGTTTCATAGTCTTTTTACATGCCTCACTGAACGGGCCAGTTAGCATAATGTTGAATGGAAAGGTTTGTTTAGAAACCGCTTTGATTGCATAGAAAATATCCCAAACGATCTTTCTTGTTTCGATTATAGAAAGTTCATAATCACAATCAATGACTAATTTAGGACCAAACATGTAACCCGTAATGAGATTATTTTCAAAACTATGTTGAAGCTCGGATTTGCGGAGCCGCAAAAAATGTGAGTTTAGCCATTCACCATACAAAGGTGCGCCTGTTGTATCGTCAAATCTTACACCCATAATTTGTTGTCTACCAGCGGCTCTTTCGACTTCTAAATGTGGGTGACGCTCTGGAAATGGTTGTGGTGGTTTATTCCGCCGCTTTTCCCTATTCAATTCACGATTTAATAGCAGGTTAAAAGTTTTTTCACGCTTATTGTGACTCAGCTGTAGCAGCAATTCCATATTTTCAACTGTGAGTGTTGAAGGCACAAAACCAGTCTCAAATTTGAGCAACTCGTAGCTATATAAAATGTCTCTAATCGCATTTTCATCATCCTCGTTTTTAATTAGCTCTTTAAACATATCAACAGTTAATTCTTCATATTCAATATTGGGTAAAATATCGTCACCATCACTAGAGTTGCTGCATTGTCGTGTAAATTGTAAACTTGAGCAAACTTGACTAGTCCTGCAGTTTGTATGAAATATAAATGATGAATCTAAGAATGGAAGTGTAGACGATTTAGTGAGTAAAAATTTTGATGAACTTAATGAACATATTCCCTTCCTGGAAGAAATGTTGAACAACATCGGCAAACTCAAAATCCTACAAATAAAAATACAAAAGGAATATTAATGTCACATGAAGATTAAACTGACAATAACAGAAAAAGAACTTACCATTTATGTTTCATTATTTATTGATAATTAAGACACCCGATGACACCTTATTTAGAGAACAATAACAGATGAAATAAAATCATATCAAAATTCATGAAAGATTGACTTTGAATACAGAAACATAATGAAAACAAAATAATGCTTGCTCGAAAAGTGCTTCTTGTTTCCATAGTAACTCAATCTGGTGAGTCCTCATTTAAAAAAATCTGAAATACAAAAATAACCTAAAATTAAAATACTAATCAATGATAATCATTTCAGAATCTCAAAAATTGTCAAAGTTTACGAAGCTAATTGTGACCTGTAAACCGATGAGACCGAATCTTCCATACTAACTGGTAAAAACATAAGAGACAAAATATTTTGATTATCAAGACTGAAATGTCAAAATTTTTTAAAACAAAAAAAATTCATATCTGAGCCATTAAACTCTGAAAAATAGATATTTCTGAAATAAATCATGATCAAGGTTCAATAATAATCTTTCAATGAATTTCAACCTTTTCCGGATTATTTCCATGTCTTCAGTTTTTGATCTTTTCAATTTTGATTTCAAACACAACATTTAATGGTCTCAATCGGTGATTTGGATTGAATGGTTGAAAATGAAAAATTTAGCTTTTAGTTGAAAATGAATTATGATTTGAATAGTTCAACTGTAGGAAAAATGAATTGATTTTGATTGAAACATTTAAGCTTTCACTTCAATCTACCTTAAAAGACCAATTGAACGGTTGAAAATTATCTAAACTGGTTTCGCTGATTGAAAGTATGAAAAATCACAAGATGAATTGATTATATCATGATATTAATAAAAAGCGAAACATTTTTACCAATTCAAACCAAATTGTACAATCAAAATTGATAAAGATTCATAATAATGAACGCCATCTATTGATCCATCCATCTAATGATTTTTATGCTTTGAGTTACACAGTAATTCAAAATACACTAGCAAGCTAGGCGAGTCTAGCTGACAAAACTCACAAAGCTGTTTTCAGGAGTCCACAATAAACTCTCATCTTTTATTCTGAAGCTCTTGTTTTCCTTCATCTTGATGCGTGCCCTTTCTCTCGATTAGTTTAATTTTTTATAGATATCAAAAATTAAAAAAAACATCATGAATCAGAGGTAAGTTTGTTTAAATTAAACATTTCTTATTATTACTTCTGGCCTTCGACATTTACTCACCCTTTAATTTATCCTTTTTTTCTCTCTCTTCCTTTCATCTTCTTCTTCTTCTCTGGTTTTCTTTTCTTGCTGTATCTCCTATGCAATGTATATTTTATAATACATTTACTTTTTACTTGTACATCTATATCCGAAGCAATGAGCAATCCATTATATCGGCGAGGGCGTCTGTTATGATTTATGATGAGTGTAACAAAAAATGGATACCTTCAGGATCTTCATCGGGTGTCTCTCGAGTCCATATTTATCAGAATGTTTTACACAACACTTTCAGAGTTGTTGGGAGAAAACTTCAAGATCATGAGGTAATTCTTTATTTATCAACTTGCATTATCATCAACAACTTGACACAATATCTTTTTTATCCTTTTTTTATTTTCCATCATCATTGTCTTCAGTTATTTTCGGTTAATTATTGTGTCTATGTTTTTAATGATTTGCAATTGTCACTCTAATTACATTGACTCATTATTATCATTTGGTTAAAGATCTTGCCATGAATTAATGCTTGCGATTTCACAGAATGATTTTCTTTCTTTGGAAAACATTACGCAGCAAAATGATTGACCAAATGTTTTCTTTTGGGACTATAAATGTTCAAATCTCTCTTATCAATCTCTCGGTCTATTTTCACTTTTTCCAGGTTGTCATTAACTGTGCCATTGTTAAAGGATTAAAATATGTCACTGCGACACCAACATTCCACCAATGGAGGGACAGTAGACAAGTGTATGGTCTCAATTTCAGTAATAAAGATGATGCACAAGGGTTTGCAGAAACGATGCTCCAAGTATTGGATGTTCTTAGTTCAAGCTCATTGAATAACTCAATAATACCAAATAAGAATTCTATTATGACAAGCCATCAGCAACAGCCACCACAACAATTACAACAATTACAACAACCACAACAGATTCCTCAGATGCCCCAACTTCCACAACAACAACCTCTTCAACAACCCTTGCAACAACAACCACAACCTCCACAGCAGCCAACACCTCAACAGCAGCAACAGCAGCAACAATTGCAACAACAACAATTACAACAACAACAGCAACAATTGCAACAATTACAACAGCAGCCTGTTTATGGTCATTGTGGTGGTCCTGGTCCTGGTCCAGGAGGTGGTGGTGGAATGATTGGTCAACCTCCCTCTGCATCGGAGTATATGCGCATAGACTTTCAACTCCGGTAAGTGGAAGACATTAAACAAACAAAAGGGCTCACTTTTTGCTAACTCACTGCATAAAAATAGCCATAGAACTTATATTTGTCCAAATTTATTTGTAAAATAATCTTATTACCCTAACTCGGGCCAATCTATTTGCGAGAAGATGAAATTGCAGAAAACTAAGCATCAAGAGAGACGAACCATTTTGGCTAGTCTATCATTTATTGACTTCTATTTGCTTCATTCTGTTTCTTTTCCATTCCAGTCCCATGATTCAACAACCAGTCCCTAACAATTCAGTACCGCCGCCGCCTCCACCTCCTCCGCCTCCTCCACCCCCACCTGGTAGTTTGGTCTCCGCGGCACCTGCACCCCCACCGCTTCCAGTGTCGGGCAATCAAACGCCGAATGAAAAGTCCATTAATCCAACAAACAATGGTGGCCCTTTAAATTTGGCTTCGGCGTTGTCAAATGTAAAACTTAAACGAACCGGTAGAGAAGAGAAAGAGGCTGAACCGGTACCTACAAAAAATTCATCGAAAAGTATGGGTGGTGGAATCACCAGTATGATGGATGAAATGGCTAAAACTTTAGCGCGTAGAAGAGCTCAAGCAGAAGGTATCCAAAATCAAAATGATTCTGAATCTACTACTCCTGTTGGTGAAAAACGTAATTGGGATAAAAAAGTAACTACAAACGGAAGCAGTCCTAATAAGGATTCCAATGAATCAAATCTACAAAGGTTTTAATCTTTTGCAATCTATTTTTCTATTCTAATCTGTTAATTATTCAAATTACGCTAACATTATCTCTTTTTCTCACCTGTTTCTCTTTCAGATTAAGGGCTGGATCCTTAGACAGTGGTAGCATTAACGGTATCGACTCAATTAAAATAGAACAATTGAAGCAAGAAATTGTGAATGAAATAAGGCGCGAGATCAACAAAGCAAAATCTGAAATAATTGACGGTATGTTTGCCTGACAACTTTTTCTATTTCTTTTCCTATCCTCTCTCAACACCATAAATCTGACTTTACTAGTAAAACATCGACAATTTGAATGCTAGAGTTATTTATTATCCTAAAATCAGTATACCGGATGTTTTTACAAAAAAATGAGAAGCAGTGAGCTAAATGATAGAATTGTTTCAAATCTATCTTCCCCAATGCAGTCTGATTATTTCTATTAGCTACTTTCCAAGTTATCTTCATTGAACTTTTTTGTGTCCGATAATTTCAACTTCTGTATTTATCGACTTCAATCAAGGTCTCTAAATTATTAGTAATAATTGATTTCTATTCAAACCCTTCTCGTGATTTATATTTCACCAGAAATATACGAGACTCAATCAGCTTTTTAATCTTACACATGGTTATCTACTTTCGATACAAATTTCATCAACATATATATTTCACCTAATATATTTCCATCTGGTTTATCCATTGAAGCAAGAGTCTGGTTACTGTTAATCTTAATTACTATTAACCAGTTTCTGGTACAATTAGATTTTTACGCCTCGTCTTACTCTCATTTTTGCTAGGGAACAATTTATTCCTAATTATGTTTTGATTAGTTTAATATTTTATTCTAAATACCTTTCAAGTTTATCAATTAGTTTCAGTGCGTAATTATTTAATGTTTATTTGATCATGTTGATTGATTCATTGATCTATTTTTAAATGTTCAATTCATTGTCACAATGAAAAGCTAACACATGAAAATGCTCTTATTTTCTGCTTCAAGAATCACTTAGTGAATGATTTTACTCATTTTAAATTTACAAATATCAAAAGATGATATGTATCACAATTAATTGTAGAATAAAAAAACAAGCAATTTACTTTGGAATTGAATAAGATGAATAAAGATAAGAATATATCCTTGAATAGCTTTTTTTTCACTGGTCTCAATCAAATTGATCGCAATTACATTGAAATTGGATAACTTGAGAAGTTCATTCAATTCAATTCTTTCTTGTTGCCATTTTTCCCAATACTATTCTTTGCATTTATTTTCTTATTGTATTTCTCAATTTCTAATTTATACCTTTTCTTCTTTTCTTTTTCAGCCATACGATTAGAATCAAGGACATAGAATATCTCACGCACATCCAACCTTTTTATCTCATCTCTATTGCCACTGCTTTACACCTTTTCTTAGCCGTTTGAAACTGCTGTAAAAAGTTCCATATACACCTACTGAGATATTAATACGCTATTTCACTGATCAGTCAACTAACAGCAACACCAAAAGCCAGAGCGAAGTCACCTTTGAAGTTACATTTCCAAGGAAGTGAGATTGATCGACAACGGAATCTCGTTTTGATGGCTAGCAAACTTGATTCAGAGTTATCTGTAATCTTTTGCAGGTTTCATCTTCACAACAAAAAAAATCACAGAAGAATCATGTTTATCTGTGTAATCAGATCATTCCTAAAGCTTTTCCCTCTCCAGATCAGTCAAACATAAAAACAGAAATACAGCGCAAAAATATTACCACAAAAGATACACAAAAACATTAATACTCTGATTGTCACTAACTATACCGAGAGAAAACAAGAGAGATTCATACTTACACTTTTGAACACTTATCAAGACAAAACTGATTAGACAGCACAATTTTCATCATCATCTTTTCATTGATTCCCAGTCATTTTTTAATTTCAAAGGGAACCATTGATTTATCACCTTCCTGTTTGAATGATTTCTCTTCTTTTCCCGTCAATATACTTATAAATATATAAATATATTCTCTTCATCCTTTTTACAGTCTCCCTACTTTTCACCTTCTTCTCGTTCCTCTCTCTCTCTTTCTCTTTGCTCTTCTGCTGATATTTGAAAAAAAATCTACTCAATTTCAACTGACATTGATGTTGAAATCGCTCTCAATTCAATGATTCAACAAGTCAAAATCAACTAATAAGCAACAGCAAAGCAAATCGTGTTTATTAAGAAAGATTCAATGAAGAATCGCATTTTTCTTTTTCTATTACAAACAGACAAATACTTTTAAGAAAACAAAAACCACATCAACAACAAAAAAATGTATTACTAACTATCCATTAATAGGCTGTCAAATTGCTTGCCCTTCTAATTCTTATCTCTATTTCTACCTGATCTTTCTTTCTTTTTTCATCTTCATCATTTTTTTCCAAAAAACAAAACTTCTATTTCTCATCCAACCATTTTTGCATCCTTGTACTTTGCATTACAGTCAAAAAATTAATAATTTGTACGCATCATCCCATGTGAAGGAAAATATTATTATAAATATAACAATTTAGCTCTAAATTGCTCACTGTCTTCTTTATCAAAGTGATAAACTGTTTTTTTTTCAATCATGCAATTTTGTCAATCTCTTTCAACTCATTCCATGAATTTTGCTTTTACATTTGTCATGACCAATCATTTCAATCTATTGAGCTGAATGAATATTAATTTCACGTGTAATTTGAAACTATCATCTTTCTTAAGAATCAATTAGCAGACATCATTAACTTTTTGCTTAAACATCCCATTATATTGTGTAGTATTTATCAATTGGTTCATTTACTCTTTGATTTGTTTCTGATAGATTTTTTGTCGTGAAAATGAAATAGCAAACATTTCTTAAATAGCATTTAAACACCTAATTGCCTTCAGAATATATATTTTGATTAGTTATACACAAATGAAGCGTGAGAAATACATAGAGAAATATAAAGCATAAGAAAAGCTGAATGCTTTAGATGGTCACATTAAATTAAGTTCCACCGAGAGTGAATCCACGACCCCAGTTATGTCTTCGTTCTGATGTCGGTTGAGGCTGGGTTGGTGGAACATAAGTGAACCCTCCAACTCTTCCTTGTATATTGGGGAAATAATCATAGAGTATTTGCGGTGGTGAAATTAAATGAACTCCGTTCTCTGCTGGATATTTAACCATAGTGAAGTAGTACAAGTGACCAATGATGATTCCAAGAATTTCAAAGTAAGCACTGTATGGAAATAATGAAACAGAGAAGTTTTAGTTTTCAAAAAATAGACATTTTCCAACAGATAAGAGATTTATACTAACCTTCCTCCCATGAGGACATTAAATCCAAGGAGAACGAACGGAAGGTACATCGCTTTCACTCTTATGCCAAACCAAAAGGAAACTACAGTTTCCTTGTTAAATTGGCACCAAATATATAACACACTGAGAACCATGGGGTCCATGAGAAGAGGTATGCTGAATAAATAGCCAATTACTACTGCCCAAAACCAATTAAAAATTAACAAGAATAGATATTCAGCTGGTTTGCTAGCGAATTCGGGGCCTGTTGTGGAAAAAAATTAAAATGATTAGTATTTATCATTGTAGCAAATGAAAATTAAAAAAGAGATGTATTTCAAGATTAATGAAAAGCGTAATTTAAAGCTCGATATGCGGCTAATTGAAAATTATGAATATTCATTAGTTTATACCAATTGATATTTGTGCAGAACTGTTGTAGTTCTGAACATTATATTCATCAACTAACAAAAGACTAACACTAACACTAACACTCTTTCTAGAAAAAATTATTTGATCTTAAAGCTGAGTAAACATTAGAATTGCGGAACCATACTTCGCTTTCTCATTTTTCATTTCTGACTACAGACATCTTCGGGTCCAAGCAAAATGCAACTTGATGTTAAAAACGAGTACACATGCTACACTATCTCAAATAAATATTGCTATTAAAGCAATTTTGATAGCTCGTAAGTAACAGCAAAAATCCTTAACATCGTAGCATTGAAACATCCAGCAAGAAAGCCACATGAGTAACAGAGCTTTAATGAAAACAGCTGATCGTTGAAATGACGTTGCTTTCATATTACAGCGAGACCTTTAAAACTTGACAGAAATTTCCAAGAACAAACCTGTTTCCAGTCTTAACGAATAGTTGTAAAGGAAATAAAGGTTCATAAGATAATGAAATCCCGTTGGATAGTAAAATGTAGCAGTAAAAGGCCTCCAAATCTAAAGGAAATAAAAAATCAAAATAAATCAATGATGAGTAAAAGATCTGTTAAGGAAATAAGTTCAAGTAATTACCTGAAATTGACTAATAAATTGGGGTGTCAATACAACTGACATTGGTGAGAAGATACCGAATTTTCCAACAATGGGAAAAACTACCGATAATCCAAACCAATACCTAGTAAATTTAGGTAAACTATCGAACCACTGAATTATCTCGGACATGATGAATTAAGGCAGAAATAAGTATGAGTTGCTATAGAGGTAAGAAACAGGAAAACTGATTGAAACCAATTGCAGGTCTATTCATGCGTCCAACACCGATATAATATAAACGGCCCTTCAAATAATGGCCACAATAGTTGATTAAATATTAAAACTAAAAAGAGACACTAAATAAGTAACTAAATCAACAATCAGGTGAAAAATGAAATTTCATGTAATTTTGTAAACATTTGTACTCCTTATGCCCTAGATGGCGTAAGTGATTTACTTGGATGTTTCGGTTTTATGAAAATGATTTCAACTAAAGTTTGCGCATAGAAAGATCAGAAGAAAGAGAAAAGAAAGAAAACTAAAAATGCGCAAACTTTCCAGGTTGAATTTGAATTTGCAATCATTTTTATACTCTAGGATCGGTTCACATGTTAAGTCTTTGGTAAATTATATTATTGATTGTGAATAAATGCTTATCCGTTCTTAATATACTTTTAATTTTGTTCTTTAAAATCTTAGGATTTAACTGACACCTCACTTGTTGTCGTTTAATTTGATAAAATCAGTACATTTTGCAAATTAAAGGTAGCGGCTGCTACTTACCTACAAGCATGGCTACCGAGGCTACTTCAGATGGTCCTGAGAAAAACAACAAAACCTCCAACATAATCTTCATTCGTAATTTGGTTCGACCTTTCACTTTGGTAAGGTTAAAGGAATTGTTGGAGAAAAATGGTAAACTGGTTGAAGATCAATTTTGGATTGATAAGATAAAGTCAAAGTGTTATGCTACATATGAGAAAGAAGAGGATGCAATAAACACTCGTGAAGCACTCCATGGAATTTCTTGGCCTGATGCTAATCCCAAAAAATTGATAATAGATTTTGCCACTAAGGAAGAATTAGAATATCATCTAAATTTGGATAAAAACCCGCCACCTTCAGCTCCTCCACAGTCAGCTCCACCTTCATCATCAACTTCATCACGCGCCCGAACTTATTCAAAACCTGAAATTGTAAATGAACAGAAAGAAAGCAGCAAAAAAGAGTTAAACAATGATAAATTTGATGCCGTCATTAGAAGAGGTAAGTTGGAAAAATTAGATCCAGAAACGTCAAAGGATCATAAAGAAAGTAGTAAACAAGATAAATCTGAAAAATCAGAAAGACAAAAAAGACCCATTCGTGAATGGGATAAAGAAAAATTTTCTCAAAATGAACAGCCTCCAGAGGAAACATCACCTAAGAAAAAACGAGCTGCTAGTGCCAGTCCAGAAAACAAGGGAAGACGTATTAAAGAAACACAACATAAAGATAAAGATCGTGATCACAAAGGTAATTTGTTTTTTTTCATATTCCGCAAAAAAAGTAGTATGACATTTCATTCTTACCTTTGTTTACCTCTTTTTTTCACTTTAGACTTGGTGGAAAGTGACGGTGATTTAGCACACAAGGATGGTTTCATTGCTGATCACAAATCGCCAGCTAAACTTCTGGATGATCTCTATAAGAAAACCAAAGCAACTCCATGTATTTATTGGTTACCACTAGACGAGGTTCAAGCCAAAAAGCGCGCTGAATTGAGAGCAGATAATCTTAAAAAAAAGGAAAAAGAACTAGCGGCTAGAAGAACATCACGCTTCCATCATCATCAGCATCATTATTATTAGCAAACAACCCAAAAAATAAAATAAAAATAAAATAAAGACAATTATTTTGTAAACAAAAAAGGCAAATCTTTAATTCAATCAAGAAGGCAGTTCAGACAAAAACTAGAAAAATATAAACAAGAGATTTGACAAAAAGTTATTGTCAGCGGTGGGGTTCGAACCCACGCACACATACGTGTACCAGATCGCTCAATCCTCTTACAGAGGCAAGATTATCTTGAGTCTGGCGCCTTAGACCGCTCGGCCACACTGACTTCATGTTTGTTAGTCAATATAATCATTAATTCATAATTTAGTTAATTTTTTGATTTTGTGATATTATTATAAAGTTAAATATTAAGTTCATGAGGCTCTCTGAGCATAATTCACAGAGTTTAATGTTTAGTCTTGTTTAAACTGAAAACATACAATTCAATGTAATTCAATAAAGATACTCAAGTGAACGGAAAATCAGAGAATCGCCAGTTTCGGTTGAGAAAAAATTAGAAAGTCGATCTCTGTTTTGACAATCATTTAAGTAAAAGCTAAATCAGTTTACTAGACTAAATGACTTGCTAATCCAGTCCATTAGCAAAGCTTGTAAAGAAAAACGTGGAGCCAGGATGAGAACCTTAAATCTTAAGCCGTAAGAACATAAGTTGAGGTCGTTTTTGCTCGTTAGTTCGCCTTAATTCATGGGTCAAAGATGAAGATTAACAAATTTTGTTTGCTCTTAATACTTTTCAAGGATTGACTGAATGATCCAGGATAAATACAAAGTGAAACAAAATACTAGGAACATGAAATTGGCAATTAAATCAGAATATCTCTGTTAACTTTAAGATAATATTTGATTTTTTTTGGATTTGAACATGAGTTAAATTATTAACAGCAATAATAATACTTAATTTTCCTCTGATATTGTGAATAATTGAAATTGTTATTTTTTTTTCTTATATTATTTTGAGATTCACTTCAATTGATTCCACCAGCATTCATTGCTCATTAGATGGCGTTGTTAAGGTTTATATTTACAAGGAATCATAAGGAATTGTAAGAAATTATTTTTGAATATCTTTGAAGGAATCAATTTTAAGATGATAATAACATAATTAAGAGTGTAATTTTGTGAAAAACTCATCTAGAATTGTCAATTACAACTCAATAATTGAGAGGAATTAAAAAGAATTGAAAATCAATTGGAAACTTGGAGTGTGAATGTTTCAGCATTGAAATTATTTCAGTCGACTTTTTTAATTGTTAATATTATAGCTCAAAAAGCATTTATTTAATTGTTTAATCAATTAGAAGATAAATTTTTCAAAATATTTTGGGCTCAAAATAACTGTGAAATAACCGGTGAAAATAGTTGAGGTAAAGTTAAGATTAAGATCAACTAGCGATTAAAGTGTTGACAATTTGATTGATTTTATTGAGTTAAGTTTACATTTAGAGTCTGCTCTAACCATTGATTATCATCATTGATAATGGATGAAACATTCATCTTGCTTTTTTATTCATGGAAATAAAGATTTTTCACTTTTCTAACTCATATTTCAATTGTCATCTCTTTCTTATTTCCAGGTTGATTCTTTCTCCCTGTTGATCGGTTAAACATTCATTCCCAGTAGAGATGATCAGCTTGATGATTGTCAATCTGTTTATCTTCACTGACTTTATTTTGATTGTATTGAAAGAGTAAAGGTAAGGTTAAACTGTAAATACCATGGTAACACAATAAACGGTACGAATTAATAATCATCATTTACAATAATATAAATAAGGTTAAGAATATAATTGTATATAAGAAATTACTTTTTACCCAGTTTCAGTTTTACCATTGTATTAAAAAGGTCTCTCGGTTGAAAAGTGAAAAATGTATCTTCTCTCTTCTCACTAGTTTGTTTCATGTTTTCACTTTTGTCCAACTGCAACTATTAATATTTCATTTAATGAATCTCATTTTATAATTAATATCAAACTGATATTATCCTGGTGTTTCAATTAATAATGTGTATATATTTATTTAAACTGTAGAAAGTTCAAATTGAATGGAAACATGGTTTAGTTAACAACAGCTTCTAACAACAAAATGACCCTTTGAAAAATCTCTCTCTCTCTCACCGTAACTCTATCCTTTACTGTTTTGTTCAACTTTTGTGACTAAATCATCAAGAATGGGATTTATTTATTACTATCCCTTCACCAGTTAAATAGTTGAGCTTTAAAGTTAATTTGTGTCCATTTTAATTTACATTATAGTTTGATAATTGCGAGATATTAAGCTATTTTACTCTAACTGTTGTTTTGTCTTAACCCATTCTTTGTGTAATGGAAGGTGTAACACCAAACTCACCTAGGACTCCGAGTCCTTTAGAGACTATTAAACGAATTGATTTTGATGTTGATTATTTTAACCGAATGTCAAGACGGATTCAAGATGGCTTTAAAGATGACATTGACAGGGGTAAGTGTTGATTTGATTATATTCATTAGCAAGTCAATTTGATGGTCTACTTACTTTTCTTGGTGCAACTTTAGATGGAAAATATTACAATTCTTACATTTATATTTACTATGCTAAATGTTATACTGTATAAAATCAATATTATTGTGGCAAATTGGTAAACAATCTTGTTATTTAAGACTTCACTTAAGTATTGTTTAACTTATTAGATGATACGATTTGCATTGCCTGTATAATTACCTATTTGTTGAACCAAAAGATATCAGAGTTGAAAACGCAAAAGAAAGAGAGAGAGAGAAAAATGCATTGTTTGTTTCTATCGTTTGCTCGTATGTGTTTTTGGATTAACTTGTTCCATGTGTTTCTATTGTATCAATTCATGTAGACCTAGGTCTTTTTAAGCATTTTGTTACTTATTTATGACAGACTCAGGTCTTACTAGTTCAATTTCACGATTAAATAAGAATTGACATCGTAAATGGTTTCTAGGTTTATTCCATCTTCTGATGTGTTTTGTATTTCCCTTCACCAACTCTTGCTAATTTTCATGCTTTATCCCTTTTATTTGGCCAATTATTTACTCATCATCATTGTATTTATGAATTTGTTAAATAGTGGTATTTGTTGAAAGTATTATGAAAACAGTTAAAGGTAAAGAATTGGATTTGTCTGGTTTCAAACATCCTTCAACTTGTATACAATGGGTTATTGAAAACTCTACTAACCTGGTAGTCATCAAGTCTTTGGCTTTAGCTTTCTATCCCAAAGGATTGGATACCGAAATCTTGTCTAACCAACACACTAGTCGAGTGATTCAGCTTTTATTGGAAGCTTCGCTAAAGATTCTCTCAAATGAGTATACTTTTGGTGGCCATAGACCAGAAACACCGACTCGCCATGGTAAATGGACGGAACAATTTATATGTGCTTTCTCTCAGTTTGTTATCATTAACATGGACACCATTTTATCGGATGGCAATGGAACACATGTTATGGTAACCGTAATTGAAGCCTTGGGAGGTGTTCGCATTGGTCGCCATTGGTCTAGAAAGACAATTGGCTTTGCTCTTAAATCGTCCATTATCACGGAACTTGAAAAGGACAATGTAATCAAAGAAATACCTCCTTCTTTTACCCGATTGATGATAAAAATTGCCAAAAAATTGATAATCCGTCGTCCAGATCGTGATTTAAAAGAGATTATTCTTGGTCGAGGTACAGCTTTGATTCAAAATTTACTCTTTATCCTCATGGTTAGACTACCCGAGGTTTGTGAGATTACGGTTAAACGTTTGGTTTACATAATTTTTTCCTCCGAGGAAAACAAATTTGCCATTACCACCAATTCAGCCTCAGCATATCTTGTGGAAGCCATTATGCTTGTTTGCTCACAACGTCGTCTAACACAATTATGGCATAGATACCTTAAAGGTAAACTAATGGAAATGTGGAAAGACGATATTGCCAATTTTGTTGTTCAACGGTTAATTGACGCTGTTCAAGATATAGACTTGGTAAATAACTTTCTCTTTAATATTCTTATACCTTTCCATAACTTACATTAGAATCCATTCTGTTGATGTATCAAAAATGCATTTCTAATCATTAGAGGAACCCCTTTTTTCTGTTCTTAATCACACAACTTTTCTTTATAAACTATTAGATCTCTTGTGCACGTAATATTTATTTATAAACTTTTTAATCACTATCACTTTTTTATATGTTATCCTTGCGTCTTTAAGTAAATCGTTTATTGTGGCTTGAATTATCGACTTGAAAAAATGGGTTAACAATTTCTGCTCAATACACGTTCATTTCTTTTGTTTTTTTGCACTGATGTACATTATTTTATTTTTACTTCATTTTATGTTAATGCACAGTTTAAATATATTTGTGATGAAGTATTTCCTGAACTTGGAAACGTATTCGCATACAATCGAGCTGGAATTGGAGTTTGCCTTGCCAAAGCGTGTTTACGATTCAAATCAATGCAAGAACCATTTGTTAATGTAAGATATTTCATCAGGATTTCAACCTTATCGTAAGGTATAATCAATGATAACATCATCTTGTTATTAATGATTTACCTGACATATTAGCAATGTTTTGGTGAGAATAAACATTAATAACATTCATAATGATATACAGAGGCAAAAAATCTAGAGTAACCTCTTGATATGATTTTAAAGCATGTTTATTCATCGCTCAAAATGACTAAAGTTGAATAATCAAAGCACTGTATTGAAATAATTTCATCTAATTCAATCATTATTGTCTTCTATTGTAATATTCACATTTTCAAGGCTCTGATAACAGCATTCAATTGTGAGGCTCGTCAAATTCACTTGGTACCTGCAATGCTTTTCGGTGAATTAAAACATCGCCGTTCTCTCTGGCTCCATGGATCTTTAATGCTTCAATATATATTTCGTTTTGAAGATCCCTGCAGAGTATCCAGAAGTCTTATATCATTGGAACCTCATCGTCTGGTTGAAATATGCTCTGATAAAAGTGGAAGTCATGTAATTGACTGTTTTCTTAAATCAGATAATGTACCAGAAAAATTCAAAGCCCAATTTAAAGAAAAAATGAGATCCTGTTCAATCAACTCTGTTACCGATGAAGACAAGGAAGAAGATTCTTACAACAATCGGAAAACAAAAGGAAACCGTGTACATAAACAAAGACCAAGAACCGGGCGAAGAGCACCTTTACCTTATGAACGAAGGGTAAGACTGGAAATCATTATCGGGATTTGGATAGTGAAAGAATCCTTTACATTTCAATGGAAATAGAAAGTTGAAGAAACCAAGAAAAACCAAAGTTACTTTGATTTTCTAATACTTTTTATTTTCCCTTTTAATTTGCTCAACAGGATAGAAGCCCAATCACCCACAAAGGAAGGGATATCATTTTCCACCGTCGATGTAACACCGCTGATAGAGATGGGTATCAGGCTTCATACTCAGCTAGACGAACAACTATTTACCGAATTGGTGAAAAGCGAAGTTTAAGTCGATCACCGTCTATACCAAGAGCCAGAATTATACGAATAAACTGATTATCTGTGAAGCTCCGAATTATTCTGTTACTCCAAAATTTCTTCAATGTTTCTGTAGTTTAGCTGTTATCACGTTTGCTTCCCATGCAAAAGGAATTCCAATTCGAACTCGAGCCAATCACTCGTCGATTCTCTGCTCATTTTCAACAATTAATCTAATTTTTTCTCCCAAAACGCTGAAATTGATTTGCAACCATTATTATTTATTTGGATTGTCAATTGTCAGTTCAATTTATTCCTCATTTCTCTCACCTTTTCTCACCCAATTTTTTTCTAATGAAATGAAATTTCTGTTGAGCAAAAATTACCTTTCTTATTATACAATTGTTCACCCTGAACCTTTCGATTTCTATTGATATTAATTTAAGCAAAACGAGTTCATCATTTAAATTTCATCTTTGAATATCCATTAACTTTCTGTTTTGTTTATCATCTCCGTTTGTTGAATATTCATCTTCATACAATTGATTATAATTGTTGTTATTCTTCTGGATTCAAATAAAGTGCTATTTACTTACAAGGGAAGGTTAATAGAAAGTAAGGGCAACAAAAAGATTGATAATTGAATCGATTTTGTCATTAAGTAATGAATCTTGGTGGGGAATTTATCGATGATGATCAAAATGTTGATCAACAAACAAAATATAAATGCTATGAATTGGAAAAGGCTAAAAAGATTGCTCAAAGAAAATAGGAAATTTAGGTGAAAATAAACTCTATCATGAAGTGATGAAAAATCAATAGGCATTCACTATTAGAAACTTTGGCTTTTTTGTCTTTATATGCTTTTTTTGGATAGCAAAGATGACAGATCAATTGATACAGACAAAAAAAGGTTGAAAAAATACAAGATTGAATGATTCTAAATAATATTGATAACAATAAAAATGATCGTTAGCTGTTAAATGAATATAATAAATGAATAAAATGATATTAAATGTTAATAATTGATGATTTAATTTCCAAAGATTATTATATTTCTTCACTTTCAATATTCATTTCACAGTTTCTCATATCTTTTTATAAATTCACTTTTTTACGACATTTCCCTTGCAATACTTGATTCTCATTGATTAATTTTGATTTTATTACATTAATGAATACTTAAATTAATTAAATATTTATCTCATGGAAATGGATGATTAATTAATTGATTGTTAGCATTGTTAAAACGAATGAACGAATCAATGAATGAGAAAAGATTTGATGAGCTTTTTTCTTGCTCCATTCAGTAAAGTTAATGATGAATTGGTTTAAATTCAATCTTGAAGAGCAATTTACTAATTATATTCATATTTATATTATCAATAACAATCAATAAAGAAAAGGAAAAAGCAATTTATGTTTAGTTCAGTGAATGTTAACCTCAGTTTGAAATAGACTCAGATTTTAAAGTCAACTAATTTTCATCAATCAGGTTCAACTGTTGAATCAATGTAAATGTTATGCTGTGTTACATCAGATGATTTACTCAACTGATTAAATGTAATCATTGTTTGAGTTCAACGGCTTGTTAACCAGTTTCATCTGTTTATTGCACCTTTTGTTTGATTAATTGTAGACACTCAATCAGTAAACACAGTGATTCAAATTGTTGTCAATTCAGGTGATTTGTTCAATTTTGAGGTTAGAAGGTTAACATTGATTTTCAATTTTTTATACAATTTTTTTGCTTTCGCTTTTAACTGTTGATTATTTTGAAACAATCAATAGTCTAACTAAATCTTACATTATGATTGGTTAATTTATTATCTGACACTCCATTTTGTATTCATTTTGCAACCAATTTACCAACAAATTAAAACATTAAATGCTTTTTTTCTGATTCTCAAGAGAGAAGTGATTACAATTAATGTTTAATCTTTTTCAGAGCAACCAATTACAGTGATTTAAAGAGATCATCTTTGAATTGAAATGTAATCTTTACTCAACACTGATTTGAAAACAGAATGAGATGATTTTATATGATTAAAGGCAATTAGTTTAAAGATATTTAACTCTTTGAACAACTGCATTAAAGATTGACAGGAGTTAATCAATATCAGTTAACAAATCACGAATAAAGAAATAAAGGAACAATGTATCAATTTCAATGTGCAGCTTTTAATTACCAAAAATTTATTTTCTTATAATTCAACTTGAGTTTATCCCTCTTAGATTAAGTTTTATCTTTGTAATTGTTTTTTACTATTTAAATCAATTTGTGCTATTATAATTTAAATCATTTTTTCTTTGTTAAGATGCACAAGTCCTTTTGGTTAAGTCTGAGTTTTTTTGCGATAATTAATCATTTACAATTTGAAAATTTGTTTTGTTCTGTATTAACTCAAATTTTTGTTTTAAACTCAGTGCTCTCAATTGATTTAAGAGGGATTTCAATTGGGAAAAATGACAATTGTTTCTTTTTCACATACATACTTATATATACTTGTCACTTTGTTAATTTTTGCAAACTCGATCTATTTTCATTTTCAAAATTTTTATGGAGAGCACAAATAATGTGTAGTTTGCTTTAATAGCTGGATTTTTAAATCATTTGCTTTTCATTCCTGATATACTTGTCTTTAATTTCTTTGAATTTCGTGGTTTATGTTTAAATGTTGCTGCTGTTGATTAAATTTGTAAGAAGTCCTTAAGGGGCGAAAACATGTGAATCCAAATTCTTTCTCCTGTGATTTTATCAGTTCATTTCGTTTAAAGGTTGTCTGAACATAAACACATCAATGTAACCAAATTTTACCAGGATACCTCACGGGGTTGATTTACTCGTCGATCATTTGAACCAGAACCATAACTATTACGACCGCCTAACCTTTGGTTAAAATTACGGTTACCGTTGTTATAATTCTGTCTTGAGTAGCCGGAAAATCCTCCTTGGAAGCCTCCTCGGCCCCGATATCCACCTCTTCTAAAGTTGTTTGCCGTTAAACCGAATGTTTCCGCATTCATTTTACGTTCTTGCCTCCAGTCTATTCTGCTTACTTTTCTGTAATACAAAGTATGCAACAAGTTAAAATTAAAAATCAGAAGCATTCAAGGAAAGAATTACTTTTACGTAGCATGAAAACTTACCCTTTACTTCTTTCTAATGCTTCACAACTTATTTTATCGAAGAAAGATTTAGTCTTGTCATAAAATGTATCTTCGTCTTCGTTCTTTTCATCTCCTTCTTTAGCAGATTTTTCATCGGTGTTTTCAACAGGTTGGATTGGTTGGGCTGGTTCACCTTCTTTCTTTTCATTCGTGTCTTCTAATTTTACCTTAGACAATTTACTCTCTAATTCTTCAAATTCTTTGTTGGCCTTTTCAAAGTCAAAATCATCTTCAATCTTTAAAGAAGTTGTAGGCTTTGGATTACGATTTTGAACAGCAATTGCGCGGTTAAATTGAGGTCTGGGTTGAGGTGGAGCACGTCCCATCATTGGGCCCCTTTTAGGCATCATTTGGGGAGGTGGTGGTGGACCTTGTCTACCTCTACCTCGGAAATTCATATTACGAGCTATTTGTGGAGGCATTTCTTGCCCAGGTAACATTCTTCGTCCATATTGAGGAGGACCTTGTCGTCGATCACCTCCCATTCCACTCACTCGATAATTGTCCCGGTAATTTTGAATCCTTGGATCTCTATTATTTGGTACATGGTTTTTAGGAGCTTTATCATCTCGATTCATTTGACTTTTAGGAGGACCAGAATCTGAACCAGGACTGCGTCGATGTCCAGTTGTTGGAGATGAACCACCTGAGCGGAAACCCATGGTGGAGGCAGTAGCTCCACCAAAAGCTGGTCCGGCAGCTGGAGGTCCGCTAGTTACACTGCTTTGACTTCCGGCACTAGCACTGTTAAATACTGGCATATTAGTTATGTTTCCAACTGGTCGAGATGTTGGTGGTGCGATGGCTGATGAACCAACGGTAATTTGTGAAGTAGGTCCATTTAAACCACTGGAAGGGGCTCCGGTTGATAAACTAGGTTTAGTAAATGTGGTGCTACTACTTGGCATTGATGATTGCTACAGAAATTAAGACATAATAGAGCATTAAAATTTAATCCAGAAGATATAATAAGCCTAGGATTTTAAAAAATGTTACATTGAATAGTGGCAAATAAAATCTTAAGCCACGTTTTCAATGTAACTGATGAATTCTTGGACCGGTCTCCAATGCTTTATACAGTAAATGAAGCAGCTTTTTTTCAAACGTTACAGCTGTAACATACTAACTGTAAGATTAGGTAATATCATTGAAAGGCCTACCATGATAATTCATTTTTAACTTACAGCTTGAATTATAGCTGGATCACCCAGCGCTTGAGTTATGCTTGCTGGAGGAGGATCATCAACAATAAGATCCTTAATATCATTAGCTCTAAATATGATGTATTCAAATACTTCCTCTCGTGGAGCAACATATTTTTCAGCTTGACGATTTTCGGTACCAAAAGATCTTACTGAAAATGGAGAAAAAAAGGTAAAATTAGTAATTGATGCTAAAGAAAATCATTGAGATTGGAAAGATTAAGAGACAAAAAAACAATACTATACCTTGTGCAAGAGCAATTGTTGACTCTCGGGTATCAATAGTGTATAAGACACCTTCATATCGAATCTCCGATTTACTGATTAGACTGATTTTAGAACCAAGGTAAGGTGTTGCCATTTTTATTTGCTAGAATTAAACCGGCTAGGTGAGACTTTACTGCAATACAACGTTTTATGGTAAGAAACACAAAAGAATGGTGTACAAACACGGAGAGAGATAAATATAAAGAGAAAAAGAGAAAGACAGGGAAAGAGACAGAGAAAGAAAAAGATGGAGACAATTGTAGATAGGGCACAATAAAAGATGTAAATCCTAATAATTTCTCAAATGAACACTCTCCTTAGGAAAGATTTAAAAATTACATTTACCTCTGTTTAAGCTTCCGATGAATTATTGGCATAAAATTACGAGATGAGAAACAGGTATTAACCGATATCAGGCAGCAGATAAATAAATTTTACTGATGAACTGAATGTCAATAGAAAATAAACAGTAATATTTAAATTACATTAACAGGTACAAAAAAACGAAATCCAAAATCTTTTCTCTGACGGTAAATTTTTCTTTGAAACACTCAAAAAGACAGATCAGTCACACAGTCAATTAAGCAAAGGGAAAGACAAAGAATGACTGACAGACGGTCGAAAGAGTAGAATAAAGAGCAAAAAAGGTAGACAGAGTAAAACAGAGAGAGAAAAAGATATTGAATTAAAGAGAATTACAAGGAACAAGAAACAGAGGATGATTTGAAAAGACAAAAATCTAATTGTGATTAAATTAATTAGATGGTCCTTTAAATACCAACGATGGTGAAAAAAAGAGATGACCACAAGGTGAGAGAAAGAGAGAGATGAACAAGAAAGAGAAAAGAAAGAAAGAAAAGAAAGAGAAAAAGATAGACAAAAAAAGCAAGCAGACGCCGAAAGATAAAGAGAGAGAGAAGAAAATGCAGGGAAAGAAATCAAGGGAGAATGAAGACAGAGGAAGAAAGATGAGAAAGAAAGAAGATGATGTAAAGAGAGAGATATGACGATGATAATTACGGGAGCAAATAAGAGGGAACCAAATATTATTCTTCAATAGTAAGGATGATTTTAAGATGAAAAAAACTCTGGTGAGATGAAAATGATTAGGAGAGAGAAGAAATTAAATTGATTTCCCCCTTTTTTTTAATTGAACTCTATCAATTTTTTATTCAGTTTTCCCTTTCATCAGTTTCTTTTCCCCCTTTAAACTCACTCGATGAGTAAAAATTTGACTTTTCATTTATTTCCATTCTCAACAGATGGAGATAGTCTTCATTTGAACGCCATCTGATGGCGTAAGCAAATGTAAGAAGGAAAACCTGAGATCATACGATCCAGGTTTCGGTATTATTTCCTTTAAACAACAACAACATCATATTATTTTTGTGTTTTTGTATATTTTTGTATTTATCATGACTGGTTGTTACAAGTTTACATAAGAAACAATTATTTTTTTATTATTATTATCTATTTTATTTCTATTGCTGTTATTAATTGTCTCAGTTAGTAGACCACCTCCACGAACTATGGATTCGCGGAGATTTCGTCGACAAGTTAAACGTCTCAGGTATTAATTTACTGCAATTTTTTATTGATGTGTATACATTTTTGTATTGCTTTTTTTACTCAATCTTATTTTGCCCTTTTAATCTTTCAACATTTCAACCTTTCACACTCATGTTTACCTTGTTTTTTTGGTAATTTTTTAACTGTTTATCTATATTATCTTTTTTTTCTTCTTCGCTTTCTTCTATGCCTTTTTGTGTTACCGTTTTACGATCATCGACTAACCATCATCATTTAATTTGACAACTCGATGTGAAATTTTCTACTCATGGGATCATTTGTTTGCCTTTTTCGACAAAATGTTTATTTTCATAATGAAAATAGACAATCGATGAGTGGACCAAATTTATCTTCACAAGATCAAGATGCAGCAATTATTTCCACACCAGAAGAGTTTGTTCGTCGATTTGATGGACGTAAAGTCATCAAAACGGTTCTTATTGCTAATAATGGTATAGCTGCTGTCAAATGTATGCGATCTATTCGTCGTTGGGCTTATGAAATATTCCGCAATGAAAGAGCCATTAGATTTGTCGTCATGGTAAGTATTTTCATTTAATTATTTGACTCGATTTAATTTACACTACTCGATATCATTATCTTAAACTGAAAAACAACAACACCGTCGTCATTTATTATGATTATTATTTTCTTCTAATTTTCCTGCTTACTTGATTTCATTAATGTACATGTTATAAAACATTGACAATACTCCGTTTAACGTTTTTCCAGTTTCACATTCACTCAATCATGCATTTTTTTGGCATTTTAATCATTTCTACTATTCATAAAATTACATATTTTTTCTTTTTAAGGTTACACCAGAAGATCTTAAGGCCAACGCCGAATATATTAAGATGGCTGATCATTATGTGCCTGTCCCAGGAGGACCAAATAATAATAACTATGCTAACGTTGACTTGATTGTCGATATAGCCATAAGAATGAAAGCTCAAGTAAGTAGCTTCATTAATATTTTAGTTTAAGGCTATTTTAAATAGAAAGGAATTTTTGACCATATCTTAATGACCTGGTTTGATGAAAAGTAAAAGTGAGGAGAAAAGTTGAAGTCAGAACGAAAGTTGAAAGTTCAAATTTTGTCTTTTCCTACTTTCAACAAAGTTTAACTTAATTCATCACTATTCCGTTTTAATGTTATCAAAAAAACTATTTAAAACGAGTTAACACTTGAATGTTAGCAAATTTCATCAAAATACCGAATCAAATTAATGTCGTAACTAATCTAACTTTACGATCATTTGAATTTAAAAAGGGTGTTTGGGCCGGTTGGGGACATGCTAGCGAATATCCAAGATTACCTGAACTTTTAAATAAAGCTGGAATTGCGTTCATGGGTCCACCTCATCATGCTATGTGGGCTTTAGGTAAAGTAGACAATTTTTCATATCAATTAAAGTGTTAAAATCTTAACCAAACAATGACGTTAACGAGAAGATTTGTTAAATTTATTAAATACCAAATGGTTATCTTACAACAACAAATTCCCATTTAACTTCCTTCACTAAATTTTCCGCTTTCTTTTGATCCCTCTTGTTTCTCAATTTTAACTCATTCACTAACATTTACTTTTTTTTTTAAATGATCAATTTCCTCGTTCAATAGGAGACAAGATTGCTTCCTCGATAGTTGCTCAAACAGCGAGGGTACCAACTCTTTCCTGGAGTGGAAGTGGCCTTGTAGATTCCAACTACGTCGAGGGTAAACCGATTAAAATATCTGCAGATCTTTATCGTAAAGGTGAGCCTCATGAAAGTTCAGATGGACGCACATTGTCAATTTCACTCTCTAAAGTCAATTTAATTTATTTTAATCATCATGGAAGAAACATTTCACATGGTTTTTACACCCTTGCAATATTTGATTGTAATTTCTTGATTTCTCTCTTTCATCTTCAAGGTTGCGTCTCTGATGAAGTCGAAGGTCTTGAGGCATCATATAAAATAGGTTTTCCGGTTATGATAAAGGCTTCTGAAGGTGGTGGTGGTAAAGGTATCCGTAAATGTGAATCAGCTGATGAATTTTCAATCAAATTTCGCCAAGTGCAAAATGAAGTTCCTGGATCACCTATTTTCATTATGAAACTAGCTACTTGTGCTCGCCATTTAGAGGTCAGAAGTCACACTTTCACTAACTAATCCAACCTTGATTCTGGTTTTCTTTTTATCTAAAAATTCTTTTGTTGAACACTTATCAACATTCAATGTTTTCGCTTTCTTCTCCCTCTATTTTCATACCACCAGAAAAGCAGGAAATGTCATTTATTGATACTTGACTGACCATGACACCTTTCTCTATTCTTTCCTCTTTTGATGTTCACCAATTTAGGTCCAACTTCTTGCCGATCAGTACGGTAATGCAATATCACTTTTTGGACGTGATTGTTCAATTCAACGTCGTCATCAGAAAATTATTGAAGAAGCACCATGTGTAATTGCAAATGAGGAAGCTTTTGCTGAAATGGAAGAAGCTGCTGTTAGGTTGGCCAAGATGGTTGGCTACGAATCAACTGGGACAGTTGAATATCTTTATGACCCGGCGGAAAATAAATTTTACTTTCTTGAACTTAATCCTCGTCTTCAAGTTGAACATCCATGTTCTGAAATGGTTTCTGACGTCAATTTGCCTGCTTGTCAACTACAGATAGCTATGGGGCTTCCTCTGTACAGAATTAAAGACATTCGTTTGTTGTACGGTGAACCCCCTCTCAATGATAATCCAATTGACTTCAAATTAGGACGTGCTCAACCCTGGGGCCATGTTATTGCAGCCCGAATCACATCAGAAAATCCTGATGAAGGTTTCAAGCCATCAAGTGGAACGGTTCAAGAGCTCAATTTTAGGAGCAACAAAAATGTTTGGGGTTATTTCAGTGTTGGTGCTTCTGGAGGTTTACACGAGTTTGCTGATTCACAATTTGGACATTGTTTCTCTTGGGGTGAAGATCGAGAGCAAGCAAGAGAAAATCTTGTTATAGCTTTGAAAGAATTATCCATTCGTGGTGATTTTCGTACTACTGTTGAATATCTGATTACTTTATTAGAAACGGAAGCTTTCCAGAAAAATGAAATTGACACTGGCTGGTTAGATAAATTAATCTCTGAACGTGTTCAAAGTGACAAGCCTAAGACAAGTCTTGCCCTTATTTGTGGTTCTATTCATGTTGCTGATGCTCAATTTTCTGGTAATTGGCAAAATTTTGAAAGTTCTTTACAGAAAGGCCAAATTCCGCATGCTACGACTTTAACAAATTCCGTTAATGTTGAACTAATCTACGAAAATGTAAAGTATTTGTTTAATGTTGCTAAAAGTGGGCCCAACAGTTATTTTGTAGTTCTCAATGATTCCTACAAAGAGGTTGAAGTTCACCAAATGTCAGATTCGGGTTTACTCTTATCTGTTGATGGATCTTCAATTGTTACTTACATGAAAGAAGAAATTGACCAATATCGAGTAATTGTTGCCAATCAAACGTGTGTCTTCAGCAAAGAAAATGATCCAACTATACTGCGTTCTCCATCTCCCGGTAAACTTCAACAATTTTTAGTGGAAGATGGGTCTCACGTAAGTGCAGGTCAACCGTATGCTGAAATTGAGGTCATGAAAATGATAATGACATTAACAACTTCAGAAAGTGGAATAATTCGACATGCTAAACGATTTGGTTCAGTTCTGGAAGCGGGTTGTATCTTGGCTCGCCTTGATCTTGATGATCCAACCAAAGTAAGAAGAGCTGAATTATACTCAGAGGGTTGGCAAGAATTGATGGCTCGCGATATTGTGGGAAAAAATCCTAGTGAAACTGATTCTGCTCACCCTCAAAAGCTCAATGTTACCTTTTCATCTGTTAAATCTCATTTGGAAAATTTTTTAGCTGGTTACGTTTTACCAGAGCCTTTTTATACAACCAAGATGCAAGAAAATGTTACCCTTTTTATGCGATGTCTTAAAGATCCACAACTTCCTCTACTTGAATTACAAGATATTATTTCATCTCAAAGTGGTCGAATTCCTCCTTCTGTGGAAAGTTCAATTAAAAAATTGATGCAAAAATATGCCAAGAATATAACCGCTGTGTTACAAATATTCCCGTCCCAAGAAATTGCCTCTGTCATTGACAGTTATGCGGCAACATTGGAGAAACGAAGTGATCGTGATGTTTTTTTCCTCAATACTCAAGGAATTGTTCAATTAGTACAACGTTATCGTAATGGTATTCGTGGTCGTTTAAGAAGTTGTGTTCAAGATTTACTTAAAAATTACATTGACGTTGAACAACATTTTCAAGCTGGAGATTACGATAAATGCGTATCAGCATTGACTGAAAAATATAAAGATGAAGGAATGAGCAAAGCAGTTGCAAATATATTCTCCCACTTGAATGTTGCAAAAAAGAATCAACTTATCATCAAGCTTATCGATCATCTAGCAGGACAAGAGCCAGGATTAACTGAAGAGCTCAGTAATATTCTCAATGCTTTAACCGCGTTGAACAGGAGTGAAAACGTTAAAGTTGCATTGAGAGCTAGACAGGTATGCACGTGTACTTTCATTGATTGTTAAAGAGTTGAGATGCAAAAACATCGCCTGTTTTTTTCATCTTCAACTCTCAATGAGTTTTTCCCCTTTTCTTTTTTTGCTAAATACATCAATTTTTCATCTACATTTCTTGCTTTACAGGTACTCATCTCTGCTCACCAACCACCATACGCTCTACGATTTAGTCAAATGGAAGCAATGTTTCTCTCGGTCATTGATATGTACTCACATGAATTTGATGCAAACAATATGAATAAGTTAATTATCAGTGAGACATCTATTTTTGATGTTCTCCATCAATTCTTCTACCATTCCAATATAGTTGTTAGAAAAGCTTCTCTTGAGGTTTATGTTCGCCGGGCGTATATTTGCTATGAAATGGTTGCTCTTCAACACCTTTTTATTCGAAACAGTCCAAATGACTCTGGTTCAATCGAGTTATCAAACAGTTATGCTGAACAAAATGATTCTGTTATACCAACAGCAGTTTTCCACTTTATACTTCCTTCGTCACATCCATCAATTGCCTCACAACCTCAATCACAAAATACCGAGGGCTTATCAAATAATTTTTCTGGCGAATCAAGTGCTCATTTACATTCCAATTACAGAATAGGTGTAATAGCTGCCTTCAAAAATTTAGAACATGTTGAGGTAAAATTACAAGGCAAATCTTTAACCTTAGCATTTTAAAATCTGTTTCTCATATTATTTCATTCAAAATTATTCTTACAGGAACATTTTGATAGTTTACTTAACGCTTTAACTGACTTCGATAAAGATTTGGCAGCTGAACATTTTGACGCACCAGAATCTAATCACCAATCATCATCTCCTAGTGATAAAGGCTCAAGCGATATGAATGGTTACAATGGTTAGTGACACACATTAATAATCAGTCTGTGGAAAAATAATGCTGAATGTCTTTATTTTTATTACGAATAATTAGGTCCAGATACTGAAGAGTCTCAAAATAAAGAGTCAAATGAACCCATACATATCATAAATATTGCAATTAAACCTGAAGGTGCTGATGATGAAATTTTGTCTAAAAAATGTGAAGCTTTCTGTCAAAGCAGAGTAAGTTGTGATTAAACCAATTCACATAAAATATAACATCCATAACTAAATTAATTTATTTTCCCTCTCTTTTAGAGTAAATTACTTATTGAACGTGGAGTTCGACGAGTAACATTCATTGTCTGTAATCTTTACTGCTTCCCAAGATATTTCACTTACAGACAGCGTGATGGTTTCACAGAAGATAGAATCTACCGACATCTTGAGCCTGCACTGGCTTTCCAATTAGAAATCAATCGATTAAGGTAATTTATTCAAGCCATAGCTGTTTACAAATCATTGCTGTGTTCACATGATCAAGTTTTTCTAATTACTTTATCATCTTTTTGTACTCAGAAACTACGATTTGGAAGCTATTCCTACTGCCAATCAACGAATGCATTTATATCTTGGAAAAGCAAAATCAACTCATACAAAACAGTTAATAGATTACAGGTAATTTTACATCGTGTTCTTATTTGTATATCTGTTTCATTGATTTTAACACTAACTTTTGTTTTTAATTTTCATAGATTTTTCATTCGCACAATCATAAGACATTCAGATTTGATAACTAAAGAAGCAAGTTACGAATTTCTACAAAATGAAGGCGAAAGATTTTTACTTGAGGCCTTAGATGAATTAGAAGTTGCATTTACCCATCCTGCTGCCAAACAAACAGATTGTAATCATATATTTTTAAACTTTGTTCCTAAAGTTACCATGGATCCTTTAAGAATAGCAGAAAATGTTAAAAATACAGTTAAAAATTATGCCTCTCGTTTGAGGAAACTTCGAGTTCTACAAGCTGAACTGAGAATGAGGATAAGAATGACCACCAATGGTAAATGTACACCTTTCCGATTATATGTTTCATATGAATCGGGCTACTCATTAGCTATTCATCTTTACAAGGAAACTCGTGATCCTGCTTCAGGATTAACTAAATTTGAAGCATGGGGTGCACCTTATTATGAACCAGGACCCTTAAATGACCAGCCAATTTCCTCTCCATACCGAACTAAAGATTATTTACAATCTAAAAGATTTCTTGCTCAAAGTAACGGAACTACTTATATTTACGATTTTCCTGTCATGTTTCAAACCGCACTTACACAAATATGGAGGGAATATTTAAAATCTAAAGAAGACTATGAACTTGAAATGCCCAAAACAGTTTTATCTTATGTAGAACTTGTTGTTGACTTTTCAACTGGTAAAATGACTGAACAAAATCGTCAACCCGGTGAAAATGAATGTGGAATGGTTGCTTGGCATTTCACTCTATTTACTCCTGAGTATCCTGAGGGTCGAGATATTATTGTTATTGGTAACGATATTACCCATCAACTGGGTATATTTGGTCCCCGTGAAGATATTGCTTTTAACCTTGCCAGTGTTCGAGCTCGAGAATTGGGCATACCACGTATCTACATTTCAGCTAACAGTGGAGCAAAGATTGGTCTTGCCGAAGAAGTTAAAAGTATTTTTGAAATTTGTTGGATTGATAAAAATATTCCAGATAAAGGATTCCATTACCTCTATTTAAGTCCAGAAAATTATAAGAAAATTGAAAAATCAATTAATGCAGAATTGATTGAAGATGAAGGGGAACAGAGATACAAAATTTTAGATATTGTTGGTAAAGAAGAAGGTTTGGGAGTAGAAAATCTTAAATATGCTGGTTTAATTGCCGGAGAAACATCCAGAGCATATCAAGAAGTAATAACTATAACAATGGTGAGTTTTTATTTCCTTTAAATCGTAAAATCTTTCATGATATAAAGTAAAGATGACGTTATAATGAAATAATTAATAATTATAATTTATTTATTCTTAGGTAACGTGTCGTGCAATTGGAATTGGTTCCTACTTAGCTCGTTTATCTCAACGTATTGTCCAACTTGAAAGTTCACACATAATTCTTACTGGACATGCATCACTGAACAAGGTGCTTGGAACTGAAGTTTACTCATCAAATAATCAATTAGGAGGAACTCAAATCATGTTTGCCAACGGAGTTAGCCATGCGAAAGCTAAAGATGATTTAGAAGCTATTCTAGTGATATTAGATTGGCTTTCATACGCTCCGAAAAAACGAGAAAAGGCAACTAAATTGGTCAATTTAACTAAAATAAAGCCAGCGCCTTTACCGATAATGGAACCGACTGATATAATTGATCGTGATGTTGTCTATTGTCCCACAAGTTCGCCTTATGATCCTCGATGGATTTTGAATGGACGCGAATCACCGCAAGGAGTTTGGGAAGAAGGTTTCTTTGACAAAGGTTCATTCCATGAAATTATGGCAGGTTGGGCTAAAACGGTTGTTGTTGGGCGAGCTCGTCTTGGTGGTATTCCTGTAGGTGTTATATCTGTAGAAGTTCGTAAAACTGAAGTTATAATTCCTGCTGATCCTGCTAATCCAACTTCCGAAACAAAAGTTCAATCTCAAGCTGGTCAAGTATGGTTCCCTGACAGTGCGTTCAAAACTGCTCAAGCTATCAATGATTTCAATCGTGAAGGCTTACCATTAATGATTTTTGCTAATTGGAGAGGTTTTTCTGGGGGTATGAAGGATATGTATGATCAAGTAAGTTTATTAATTTTTCAATATTTTCCTTTTCCAATTTCTGACTAATTTGTGACTTTCTTTCAGATTCTGAAATTTGGTGCTCAAATCGTAGATGCTCTTGTAGCCTACAATCAACCAATTATTGTTTATATTCCTCCTTATGCTGAATTACGTGGTGGAGCTTGGGCTGTTGTTGATACCACAATTAACCCTCGACACATGGAGATGTATGCTGATCCTGATAGTCGTGGTGGTGTTATCGAGCCAGAAGGTTCAGTCGAAATCAGATTTAGAATTAAAGATCAAATAAAAGCTATGCACAGAAATGACGTTATCTGTAAAAAGATTATTGGTAATAATTTTTCTCATAATTCAACCAATTTAAATGTTATCATATACGAATATTTTGACTAATCTTTATTTTGTTATTCTTTTCAGCTGAAATTAACAAAACAACCGATCCTGCGGTAAAGAAAAAACTCGAAAGACAATTGAATGATAGAGAGCAACAAATCAAAGGTAAATTCAAAATCAAACAGTCATCAAACCACAATTCCCTTGTTCTATTCTTGTTGTTTTAACTGTTGAGGATGCATGAATCTTTTACATTCATATGAAAAATACAACATTCTAAGGAACTATGCAATTGTCTCATTAGAGATCATGTCGTTTAATCTCGAATTTTCATTGATAATCTCTGAAGTTTAGTAAACTTGTTTGTAGTTCGAAAGCTAGAGTCTTAAATTATTATAACCTGAAGAGAAAGTGAATGTAAATGTTTAGGGATTTTACCAATTTCATTAATGCATATCGCAAAATTTGTACAGTCTAAAAATTTTTGATAAAACGCCTTGAGCAATAAACTGATCTCGCCTAAAATCCAAGTCCGAAGTCCACCTTAACAATAGGTATTTAAAGCTTTTTAACTAGCAAAACACAATCTTTGGTAAAGGAAAAAATTAGTAAAGCCAAAACAGAGAAGGTCAAACAGAAAGGCGGAATAGCGAAGGTCAAAATTAAGAAGCTTAAAAATTAAACTGATTAAAATTTTTTCTGAAAATTCTGAAAAGAAAACAATGCTTTAATTACCATGAACTGATTTTTTCAATTATTTAGCAATTTTTTAATCTTTTGTTTTTGACTTTCTCTATTTGTTTTTCTCGGTCCTGAACCCAAACCGAATCTTTCCGTACGTTTCTAGTCCTATGTATGGCGGATTCATCCGTATACCACTTTTTAGTTGACAACACGATAGTGACAGTTTTTGACAGATCAAATGCTTTAAAGATACCCTATTTTTAAAACGCCATTTCATTCAAAATTTCATAACTTAACTAGATATTGTTTAGCGCGAACCAAACTCGATGAAAAATTTATTATCAACATCAAAGAAACCAATTTAACTAATCTGTTTGATCAAAATTAATCGACCAATCTTAACTCCTTTAACTTTCTTAACAGGTGCATATCATATTGTTGCTACATATTTTGCTGATTTACATGACAAACCGTACAATATGTTGATGAGGAAAGCTATTAGAGGTATCATTCCATGGCATAGGTCACGTTATTATTTCTATTGGAGATTAAGGTAAACAAATTCAGTGAAAATAAATCATGAATAAAATTAATGTCGCGAGTCTCTTTATTTACCTATTTATTTTATAGACGCCTTTCTGTTGAAGAGATATTGAAGTGTGATTTGGAATCAATTGATGGATCCATGACCATTGAACAAATAAATAATTTGATGGAAAAATGGTTCTATGCGGACCAAAAAAATACACAGGTAATTACAATTTATATCATTAATTCCCAGCCCATTTAGTCATGAATCAAAATATTGACACAATCCACCAATCAACCAAAATTGTAGTTGATTCCAAGTGATTTGTCAATATTTCAATTCTTAACTGATATTTCTCATTTGAAATTGCTGATGAAAATTACGTTAATATTTAGCTGAAAATGAAAATTAAAGTTACGGATATTAATATTGAACAATAACACAAACATAAGCATTTCCTATGAAACATGACTGAAATTTTATTAATTTTTACTTTTTTTTGTTTTTTTTTGATTAATCAGACTCAACTTTGGAATGATGATAAATTTGTTGCTGAATGGTTACAAATGCAATTGGATGACCCAGCATCTCTTGTCAATGAAAATCTTAAAGAGTTACGACTCAATAATTTTTCACAAGTAGTTGAAAGGTAAAAATTAATTGACATTAATTTTAAATTTCAAATGTTTGATGCATTTCATTTGTATTTACTTTCCTTTCTCTTGATGTTTCTTTCAACAGTGTCTGTGAACAATTCTTACCAAAAGGACTCACAAGCGAAGATAGCCTTAGAGTTGCCGATTGTTTAAGAACGTTGACAGATAAATTAAAGACTAAAGTGGTCTTCAGTAACAAACATAGTGATATCGAAAAGGAGGCGACAAATGACGGGCAAAGTGTTGAATCGACAAGCAATGGTGTTGGAAATGGATCGTCAAAGTGATTTTTTTTGGATTTTTTTGAAAGTTAGTAGCGGGCAGAGAAAATTTTTTTAGGCCATAAAAATCAGAGATGTCACCAAAAATTACAGCGTTTTATTAACATTTTTGTTATGATTTAACTACATTAAAGCGACAAAATAATAAACAATTTGTTGTTTTTGCTTTAATTTGTAGAGATGAAAGTTTGCAAGTGATTGCAATTATCAGGAAATGAAGGGATTGAAGGGGAAGATTGATGTTTTTGATTTTTTTGACTCAGTCATTTTCAAGGGGGTTTCATATCATTAATGATATTGACAAGTTTCACAATTTGGCACGAGTTAAATCTAATGGTCCATCGTCGGATAAGCTTTCAGCTCGCTCCAAATGGGAAGGAATCAAAGATTTTGGTATTAACGGGAAACACAAGAATGGAGTTCCCAATAGCACATTTTGCAGAGGAGGAGTATACGATTTTATTGTCTTTGAGTTTGGTGAATTTGATTCACGATTGATTGCAATTTGAGGTGAGGTTGATGCCGATGAAGGTGTTACTGCCGATGATGGTTGTCTAAAGGAAAGTGAAAGTGGTGCCGGTGATGGTTTTCTTGGTGGAAGCGGTGGTGTTGGTAGACGAGGTGATGTCGAGGAAGAGGCTGGTGATGATATTGATACTGAAGATGAAGGTTTTCTCTTTGGTCTTGGACCACGTCGAGTACCATAAACATCTATTATTGGATAAGGATTGATGGTTCCGTCAAGATTGAGAACAGCTGAAGGTGCATGATTATGTTTTCGGAGGTGCACTTTAAGAGAGTGACAATATTTGGTCACATAAGGGCAATTTTTACACTGGAATTGATAAACATTTGAATGGGATTTTAGATGTGAATTCAACATGGATTTATTAACACATGAATAGGTACAATTGGGATGTGAACAGGTAAATGGTTTAGAGTTGAGATGATTTCTCAAATGATATTCCAAATGGTGTTTAAATTCCGTTACAAACGGACAGTTGGGGCAACATAATTGTTTTTCGCGTTTTATGTGGATTGGTCGATGGATCCAAAATTCATTTTTACTTGAAGCAATAAATTCACATTGCTTACATTTGTATCGACGAGGACGATTATTATTGTCGTTGGACATTTTCAACAACACTAGACACAAATGCAAGAAAAAAAAGAGACTCTGTACACGCTCCTTCAACTTTTACTAGAACTCAAATGAAGATAAAAGTTGACTGCAAGCAAAAAAAGAGAGAGTAAAAAAGAGTAGGCGGAGCTGTTTGGGTCAACATAGCGCATATGTGGCCCGTTGGGCATACCAACACAGGCTGAAAATTGTGCATCAAGTTTAATTTCAATTGATCAGCTTAAAATTGTTAACAGAAAGTAAAGCGTCTTTCATCATGAGCCTGAAGGATAAAAATTGAACTACTTGAAATTAAGAAGTTTTTTCCGTTTTTTTTAAATGATAATTCATTGAATAAAATTTGTTGATGTTAACTTTTTGTGTTGGCAAAAAAAGAAGCTTAATTTTTTCAAATTTTTACCACATTTTGTGTGCAGTTAAGATAAACATTTGCAATGATGAGGTAAACATTAATTTAATATTTTTTTACTAACATTTCATTTTCTATATAAAATGATTGATAAAAACTGTTCAATGTTACGAGCATGATCGAGCCAACCTTAAGGAGGAACCATTAGCACTGGTCGATCCAAATGGATTCAATTGATTAACACTTGGTAAATTGTTACAGTTAATGATTCTTTATTAGCATCAAAACAATTTAAATGTCAATTTTTCTTCAACTTTTTATTTAAAAAACTGATTCATTTGGAGTTTAATAATGAACGGCGATTCAGGGAACTCAGTTAATTCAGTATTTACAGTAAACTGAAAGATGTTTAAATGTTTGGTGAACCCAAAAGTTTTTATTTTATATAATTTGATTTAGATTGCAATTCAATCAGTTTTAAATCGCCAATCAAAGGTTTTGACTATCAATCTTTACAAATGGCGGTTTGCTTGTGAGAAACAAAAACCTTTGGAGCAATATAAAGATATCTAAGAACGAAATAAATGAAAGGTAAAAATTAATTCGCAATATCGATCTTAAATTAACAAAAATTCATTGTATAAATATTGATATAGTAAGTATAGAAAGTATTCAATTCATTTCATTTGTTTTTTATTTTCCTTTCTAATGTTGTTTTTTAATATCAACAGTGTTTGTGAACAATTCTTGCCGAAAGGACTCTCAAGTGAAGATAGCCTTAGAGTTGCCGATTGTTTAAGAACGTTACCAGATAAATTAACGTGTAAAGTGGTCTTCAATGACAAACACAGTGATATCAACAAGGAGGCGACAATTGACGGACAAAGTTGTGATTCGACAATCATAAAATCAGAGTTGTCATTGAAAATTACAGCTTTTTATTAACATTTTTTGTTATGATTTAACTACTTAAAATAATAAACTCGTTTTTGCTTTAATTTGTAGAGTTGGAGTTTTCAAGAAATCGAAGGGATTGATAGGATTTGTTTTTTGATTTTTTAACTAGACAATCTGGCACGAGTTAAATCTAATTGTCCATCGTCTTTCCAAATTGGAAGGAACCAGGGAAATTTTTTACTCTTGATAAACATTTTAGTTGTTAGTCAATGTGAAGGTGTGAAAGATTTATAGAGACAAGAAATTATATTGACCTTGCTAGGAATAGGTTTACACTTTCATCTTGATCATCATGTTCATCTTGCTTTTTCTTGGGAAACATTTCTTTTTTTTCACCCAAAATAAGGTATTATGATGAAGGTAAAAAGGGAAAGAAAGAATAAGATGATGATTGTGATGAGGAGGATGAAGATGATGATGAAGGAGGAAAAAATAAGAGAAGTGTTGATGAAGAAGGAAAAAATTACCAAATATAAGATGATTTTGTGGATGAGAAAGAAGATGAGGAAAAAGTAAGAGTAAAGAAGTGGAAAAGGATAAAATAAGTTGGAGGCAAAAAAGGGTTTTTGGATGATAACAAATAATGACTAACATGATAGAAACTGCAAGATCAATAAGCTTTTTCTTCTTTTCTTTCTTTTCTTCTGATCATCATTCTGCATCAACCCTGTCTTCTTTCCTTCTCTTCATCTTGACTGGCAAAAGGATTGACCAGTGATGGTGACCAGTAATGATCAATGTCCATCAAGCTTTTCAGATCAAAGTAAAAATGTGATCCATTTTTGATGAGGAAAGCAGAAAAAAAATTGGAAAGAAGAGGAAAGCAAAGAAGATGAAAAAAAGGAGAAGATGAGAAGGAGGATGAAACTCCTTGGAGGGATGATAAAAGTCTGAATAAAAAGGAATGCTTGGTCGTCACGATGAAGATGTAAGATGGAAGAGGAAAAAAGGAGAAGATTTTGTGATATCCAGAGGGATGAAGTTGATGGAGATGGTGAAGAGCAAAAAAGTAAAAGATGAGGAAGAAGATGAAGAGGAGAAGCAAGAAGAGGTATTAGTAAACGGAATGATGAGTAAAAATGAAAAAAAGGATAAAAGATAAAGGGTAAATTCAGTCCTTTTAGTGATGCTTTTTGTACAGTTAAAGATGGTTAAGAGTGTGAAACAGGAGAAGAAGAGGAAGATAAGGAAGAGAGAGAGAAAGTGAAAGGATATAAGATGAACATGAATGATGCTGAGAGTATTAAGATGAGGAAAGAAACAAGATGAATATAATGTATCACTGATAGTGAGGAGATGAGAAGATGAAAAAAAACGAAAAAGGAAAAAGGTCAAGAAAAAGATTAGAAATGATAAAGTAGACAAAAAAGGTAAATAAGGTGAAGAAAAGGGTTGATTAGGAAAAAAAGAAAATCTTTTTTTTACTCAATTCTGAACAAGAAAAATTCCATTTTCTGTTTACCTGGAAATTTTCACATCAGTTTACTCTTCATGATAATTATGAAGACTCCAAATTTTCGTCTTTCACTGAAAACAAATCAACTTTAAAGTCGATTAGGTTAGGTAAGGTTAGATTAGGTGAAATCTTCACCTAAAATATCATATTTAAGATGTTGAATCGATCATGATTCATCAAGATTTGACTAATTTTTGTTTCAAATCAATGTGATTAAAAATAAACTGATGATGTTTAAGAGGCAAAAAACTTGACTCATTACAAGATTAGGGTCATTTTGGTTTGAAGCGAAGTCTCAAGTTAATGAAATGTTGGATCAAACCTTTAGTCATTACCAGGGCTTTTCAAAAGGCATTAAATCATTTTTTAATCAAAAAGGCATAAATTTTATGCCTTTCGTCTATCTTTTCCCTTTCTTTTCTCTTTCTTTTTTCAATTTTATCAGCCTTAATCTGTCCTAAATAAAAGATAGTCGCCTTTTTTTTGACCAATTTTGTTGATAATTTTTCCCATTGAAAATCAATGGACTTTTCTTAGGTTTATCTTTTATGCCTAAAAGCATATACATAAGATAGACGAAAGGCATAAAATGTGAAAAGCCCTGGTCATTACCAATGTCACTGGTAACTTTTGATTAAAGTTTAATCATTTGTAATCACAAATATAATGCAAAATAAGCCGATGATCCCTAACCTTTGAGTCAACACTTTGTTGAAAACGAAACATTTTGTTTCACTTTAATGGTAATGTTTATTGTAATAAACATTTTAAAGTAAACCTTTGAGTTAACCAAACCTGGCCAAGACTCTGTTCAAGTTGATATTTAAGGTTAAACTAAATACTGTTGAAATGCATCTTCATTTGTTCAACAAGTACCCATGAAGTTTTCCTCCTCACAGATGGATGCAATTTTTTTGTTGGTTGCTCTCATGTGCGTCCTTTTCATTTCAACATTACATGGTTACACCGAGCAACAAAAATGCACCAAAGTAAAAAAATATTTAAACTCAAACTATAATTTCTTTTTTACCCTGCCTGCTGCTCATGTTTATCCTCCTACTTTACTTTGTATCCTCACCACCATCATCATCTTGCTTTCACCCATCAATCAATCGAGGGCCTAAAAAGGTTCAAGTCTAGACGCTCATCGAAATGGTTGATTGAAATGAACACAAAAAACATTCAACATTGGCAAATATCATTTCAACCATTTCCACCTCTTGAACAAGATTTCCCTAAATTATTGTCATGATAATGCTTATTATCTGTTGACATACAATGGCAAGTTTTACTCTTCTGAACTTCTTCATGAAGGATAAAAATCGTAAACTTAAAAATGGAAAGCTTTTCCTTTTTTTCAAATAATTCATTCAATAAACTTTGTTGATGTTAACTTTTTGTTTGCAAAAAAAGCATCAATTTTCAACTTTTTACCCCAAATTTGCGTTTAGTTAAGATAAACATTTGCAATTATTAATAAAACATGATGAGATAAACATTATTTCATATTTTTTTACTAACATTTCATTTTCTATATCAAATGATTGATAAAAACTGTTCAATGTTACGAGCATGATCAAGCCAACCTTAAGGAGGAACCATTAGCACTGGTCGATCCAAATGGATTCAATTGATTAACACTTGGTAAATTGTTACAGTTAATGATTCTTTATTAGCATCGAATAAATTTTAATCACAATTTTTCTTTCAACTTTCAACTCGTTCATTTTGAGTTTAACAATGTCAGTCCGTTGCAGTAAACTGAAAGATGTTCAAATGCTTGGTAAACCCAAAAGTTGTATTTTCATGTAATTTGATTTAGATTGAAATTGAATCAATTTTTAATCGCCAATCAATTGGCATCAATCTTTACAAATGTTGTGAGAGACAAAAACCTTTGGACAAGCGTTATAAAGATGTTCAAGAACGAAATGAATAAAAGGTAAAAATTTGTGAACCAGAAAATTAAGTGAATGGCAAATAAGTTTAGGTCAATATTGCACATGATAAACCTTTAACCATTTAAACCTTTGACCACAAGCTGCATCTCTTTCAAGTAAAAGCCCTTTGACCTTTTTTTACTTCCATTATGAGTCGATTGTAAATTGTTTTTTAGTCCTACTTTTAAATTCATCATAATACAGGTCAACAACAAAAACGACTTGCACATTGAACATATGGACACTATGCGGGTGGAAGCAGAGTCATATGATGAAAAGACCAAAAAAATGTAAAAAAAGGAAAGATTTTGCAGTAAAAAGAGAAAAGTTGCTAAAAAAAGAATAAAAAAATTGGTCATTTTGAAAGAGTTAACAGCTTCCATGTGAGAGATGCATAAGAGGCCTTTTTGGTTGAACATTTAAGCTGCAAACAACTCAACTACTATCAATCCAAGTCCACAATACTCGTCTTTCATTGAGTGACTAGCCAGTCAGTCAGCCTTTAGTGAATGACAAAAAATGGAACAAAAATGTTGGCGAAAAAAAAGTAATTGAAAAGTTTAAGAGGAAGAAG